GAAGAAGCAGGTGTTTTCCTCTGCAGAGAAAAATGGACTGGATGTTACTGATAAGTTTTTTGGAAAAACTAACTTTTTTTCATCCAGTCCTGCTTCTGTCCAGTTCTTCTTTTTAGAAAATGTGCTTTTTAGAAGCCACAGAGATCTTTTGTTCCAGTTATGCCAAATGCTGGAGCTGAAATCTCCCTAGCTTTATTTAATTACAGTAACAGAAGGATTTCCAGCATGATTTCTGTGGAATAATTACTGGATAATTGACAGGGTTGTAATCAGGAAGGAGAAGCACTGAGGAGGGAAAAGGAAACAAGCAAGCAAGTATAGGTATCTATACTTAAAGCTAACTCCAGTGGATATCACTAAGAAAGAAGATCTGGGAGCAAGATCCTTGCATAGGGGGGGCCTCTTCTGCCTCTCTTGTGGCTTGGTTGAATGATAGTGCAAAGGTGAGACTTGAGAGCAAACAACCCCCAACAGAGGTGGCCTCATTCCAGCAAATGGAGTAGAGTGTTCATATTCCTCAAGATGCAAGCATATTTGAGTGTGGTGACTGCTTTTTAAATTGACAACCCACCCACTCACCCACACCTGGCAAGCCATTTTCACAGGGCACTTTGACTCTGGTTCCTTTCCTTTGTACCATTCTGCCACATGGTGTTTCCCTGAGCCCAGTTTGTTATTTCCTGGTCCCAAAGGCAAAGGATGCTGAAATGTTTTATTTTGCTCAGAGACAGATGGTGAGCAAATATCTGACAACACACAGAAAATACAAAGAGTTAAACTACAAATGGCAGGCCAAGAGAATGGTTTGAATAAGGATGCTTTACTGGATATGCAAAAGAAACTGGCTGAAGTTTTTAAAACTAAAAGGGAAATAAAAATGATATTTGTAGAAAATGACCTGGAAAAAAATTTCCCATTGAATTTTAAAAAGAGGCTTGTTAAAGCCTTGAAGAAATCCATGTGATTGGATAAAGATGAATTGAAAAGAAATCAAATCATATGATAATACTTAAAGATTAAATTAAAGATTAAGACTGTTAGAAGTAAAAGAGAGGTATATAAAGTTGGTTTAATTGATTAGAGTTGAAATAAATAAGTTTTTGCAAAGCTTAGGCAACTGTTTATGAACTTTTTGCTGACACTAGTTGTTGAACAGTTGATATTTGATGAATTTGGGATGGGATAAGATAAGGGATGGGATATGTGATTGAAGAGATCCCTATTTGTAACACACAGGGAATGAAGAGTCACCAAGTTTGTTTATGTTTGTTCTGATGAAGGTTGAAAGCCACTTCTTTATATATTTGTTTTCTTTTTATTATTTTCTTCTCTTTTTATTCTTTGTTTTTCTTTTTTTCTGCACTTTTTATTATTTTCTATTCTCTTTCTCTAAGTTTAGTTTGTTTTCGTTTTTACTTTTGTAATAAAGATTCTTAATAAAATTATATGTAAAATACAAAAAGAAAATGAAGTAAGAGAGATAAGAAATAAGGGAGCGGAAGACATAAGAGATTTTTCTACTTGGAAAACCTTAAACTTATCAGACATGCAAAAAAAAAGCTGAAGTTTTGTTTTTAAAATATATGGTAAAATATATAAATATAAATTTTCTAAGAATATGCTTAACTTGCTAAACATGTGTCCTAGATATATTTCATGAGTTTTAGTTTTGCGCTACTTATAAAGCTTTTATTAATCCTCTGCTCCATGTTGTGGTTCTATATATCTCACAAAGGGTTTCACAGTACTTTAATGTATGCAATTGAAGTGATCTTAGACAAATATTAGTGCATATTGCTTTGTTAATTACTTCCTACAAAGGAAACAAACAGCTCAACGCATACCTTTGGAAGGACAGTAAGAACTATTCCAATCAAAAGGCATTGGACGTATGTATAGAGGATGGTGTATCCTTGCTGTAGAATAGACTTGTTAAATAGATGAGCTAGTAGGGATATGAAGTAAAGGTTGGTTCAAATCCATTCCTTGTTGACACATCATAAGCCATATTCTGAAAATCCTTCAACTGCTACAGTTACCAGGGAGGGTTTTGATTGGCATATGAAAATCAGAGTGTATCAGTCTGTTCTTATTCTAAATGTATTGGCTCAATACAAAGCTTTGCTCAAGATGCTAGTTATGACCTTTAAAGAATTAAATGGCTTGGAACTGCTTGCTTCCATATGAAATTGACTGGCTTGTAGAAAAATCTGTAAAGCTTTTTTATAAGGTGATTTTCCTGCTCCTTCTTAAGCCAACAAAAAGCTTAACCTTTTTAATGACTCCATACATCCTGAAGTTGTTTAATCCAATTTTTCACATGTGATAAGTGCCTTATTTGCAGTGATTTTTACCAATTTTAATTTTTTTTAATTTTCTCTCTTGTCATGCTTCTACACTGAGATTTTTAATGTGCATTGTTGTATTTTTCAACTGTAATTTTAAAACAATATTGTAATTTGAAATCTGGTTCTCTCTTCCTCAGCCCTTTTAAATACACTCGCATTAGGGAAGGATGATTTAGTGCCCTGATGATGAACCTATCATGTGTATTAAAGGTGACATGCCATGACGTTTTTGGGTGACATGCCAGTGTTCACCAATACCCACCAACAACTATTGTTGAAAGCATGCCTTGTTCTCATGTGATTTTTGAAGGCTGTAGAGGTAATCAGAGAATGAGGTGTACTCTTGACTGGTCTCTGGAGCCTCTGAAACTCACACAAGAACAAGGCATGCTGCTGTGTGGTTTTTGGAAGCTGCAGAGGCTGTAGAAGAGTATTCTCCAAAAGCCAATTCAAGAATGAAGGCCTCGTGCGCCCCAGAGCAGCCTCATGTAATCCACAGGGTTCTGTCTACAGAAAGAAAGTATTGCCTGAAGGTAAGCGGCATGGCAGATTCTGGGTAATGCTGAGTCACAGGGGCAATTGCCTTGGGGAATGGCACAAGGTGGCCTTTTTGAGTAATAACAGTTGTGCTTGGGCTGAGGCCTCTACTCTACATCAGGCCCAACCTCAGCACAACTATCAAGAGCAGCTATTCAGGGTGGCCTAGATAGGGGAAAGGTAGCTAATTGTTTCTCATTTATTTATTTATTTATTTGTTTGTTTGTTTGTGTGTGTGTGTGTGTGTGTGTGTGAGAGAGAGAGAGAGAGAGAGACAGACAGACAGACAGACAGACAGACAGACAGACATGCCAGCAGAGTCAAATTTGGCATTTTCTGAATTTTTGATATGCTGAGACCATCCTCAAATCCAAAAATCCTTGGGCTGACTGTAATGTATATTGCAAAAAAATGCAGTTTGTACATATTTCTTTGGTTATTAGTGACTGAATAGCGGAAGTGAATAAGCTTGGGATAAAGCTCCGTCCAATTCCCAATCACCTGTTTCTCCATCACTCCATCCCTTCGAAGGCTATTTCAAAGTGACACCCTGTCACTTACACTTTTGCCAACCTTGAAATGATGAAACGATTATAACTCGGTTGGTACTAAACCCCCTTTTCCTCCATTTGATCAATGGGATCTTATCATCAGTGCCCCCCTCCGTGAGCTATAATCAGCTGTGGTATAACAAATATCTTCTTCATTCCACACAAAACAACTGAGCGTCCCCTATTCAGTATCCCTTTTAGTACAGGAGGCATTTGTCTTTATCTAATCATTTCCTAAAAAATTTTGAGAGGTTGCTATGAAGAGAAGCTATCTGAGGTAAGATTGATTATAAAAAAATACTTAAACCACAGTACTGAAGGGCTCTGAAAGCTTCCCAAATGCCTTATGCCCCTTTCTCTCTTTCATTTAAAAGCAGCTATGAATTGTGAAGGTGAAATGATAGCATCTCACCAGTTTTGCAACTTGGCACATTTTCCAGGAGCTGCAACTACAATTGCATATTGATATAGCCACTGGATTGAGTGAAGGGGAAGATAAGCTCTAACAATGAAAGCAGGAAGAGACAAACTATAGGACAAGATGCTGAACCACTACCAGAGGGAAATCAAGCAATGGTTAATTTAAGCCCAAGAGGTAGGAAGCACATTGAAGTGAAAATCCTCACCAATGACAAAATGGAATGCCTTCAAGATCTGCAGAGGTGCAGTGAGGGAGGGAACCAACTTGGATGTAATTTCCACAGAAGATGATTTAGGAATGACTCTGCTCACCCAAACCACTGATATGAGATTAGAAAGCTCCAGAGTTGACCTTGAAGTGGTCCAAAACTAAGAAGACACTCCCTTGGTACTTTTCTGTGTGCATTGTAGGGAAATGAGGTCCGCTGCAGCATATTTCATATCATTTTAATTTTTTGCAAGAGTGGGAGAAAGAGAAAATAAATTTGAGCACCACAGAGAAGACTGGAGGTCACAGCAGTGCATAGAATCACAAGTAAGTTGTATTGGTGATAGTAGTGGCTTTTAGAAGTAGTTAGTAGTAGTGATCCCCAGGAATACAGAACAATCTCTTGATAGATCAGATTGCTTTGGCTATATATCATGAGCTGAATAACCTCAATGGGCTATTTCAACTTTACTGACTCAACGAGGAATCTTGCAACTACTCCAGAACTAAGAACAACTTTAAGTTGCAGGCTAAAACAAATTTCAAGAACAAACAAGTATATCCGATTCCATATAGAGTGGATACCATTGCTTCAGATATACTTCAGCTAATGAGATTGCTTCTGTGTAATGATGCATAATTACTGTATGTGGCCTAGTCAGTGGTGGGATTCAAATATGTGAACAAACGGTTCTCTGTGTGGATGCCACTTCCGGAAATCTGTTCTGGGCCTGGGCAACAAAAAATTAGCTACCGGTTCTGCCAAACTAATGTGAACCGGCTGAATCCCACCACTAGGCCTAGTATAATCTGATGGCTTCTATGTTACTAATGGAAATGCTGTATTTTGCTGTGCATATTTGCTTTTGACTACCCTTGTTGAGCACTGATAACAACAAATGACTTTTAATATATTACTGAGCAGGAAACAAAGTGTACCAGTGGGTTTTTTTATTTTTTTTTAAATAGCAAACAGCTTTCCATAGTTAAATTGCACACGTATTGTTGCCATTTTTCAACCATGAATAGGAACAAACCCCAATCCAAGCCATTAAAATGGAACAGAAAGAAAATAATTATGTTAAGAAAAAGCAAAACCAACCAACACCCCCCCCTTCCCCATGTCTGGTTTGATATCCAGTAATGGTAAGATTTAATTGCTAGTAAGTTTCCAAGTTCTTGAAAGACGTGCAGTGCACTTTTCCAGATTTGATAGTTCAACCCACTCCTGGAGCAATTTCACAAGTGAACGATGACTGAAGAAATAACTACAAAGTGGGACAGATTTGAAACCAGACTCAAGTTCTGTCAGCGCTATAGTAAATTTATGAACCCAAAGCCTAAAACGAAAGCATGCTACTCACTGCAGTGTGAAATCCTGGATGCAATACAATGTGTGACTTGCTATAGAAAACAGTATGTTTACAGCATAAAAGCCCCCTGTATAGAAATTACTCATTTTCACTCTTCGGTATCTTGTTAGAATTCTCATGGAACTGTAGTTCTGTCAGGTGCAGAGATGTAATTGACAGATTCACTGCCATTCACAGAGTTATAACTTTTAGAGTTCCTTGGTTGGGAATTAAAGAGGCTGAATCATTACAGAGGCTTTACATTTGTACTATAGCCATTCAGAGAGAGCTCTCGACTTGTTCCTGTAGCAAACTGGCTTTGCTCCATAGTACTTCACTTAATCTTGACAGCAGCCGGTGGTCCAAAATGCTGACATTATGTTTATTATTACTATTACTTTCCAAAAAGAAGAATGGAAGCAGAGTTTTAAGCAACAGTCAGTCCAGAAACACAGACCAGTTTCACTGGCATCTGCTTTTGCTGACAAGAGCTGAAACAAATTCAGGATTCTAAATTTACAAAATAAACACTAGTTCGATTACCTAATTAGAACATTTAAATTGGAATATACAACTCTCACAGGCTTCTAAATTAGGTTGGAGTCATTGTATATAACCTACAGAAATCAATAGCAAAGCTCCAATTAATTTGAATATAAAGACAGCAAATGTACATAAAGTTGCAGCTTTAAACATCCTGCTAAACTACATTGCTATGCAATTATTGGTAAGGGAAAGGTAAGCTATTATTCAGATGTATTAAATTATTTGCTTTATGTGGTCATGGATGGGCCTGCATTTTGAAGTGCCATATCGTATGGTAAAAAACATTGGGCTGGACCAAGCCAGATCCAATGTGTATTAATTGACCTCAGTAGAAAAGTTAGTTAAACCAACAGGATTTTAAAAGACTAAAATATGTATAGATCACAATTATTATTGAACCAATTTCAAATCTGAATTCATGGAATTACAATATTCCTAATTTTAAATGTGGCATACTATTCCTCAATTGTTTCAAAACTGATGCTGTACAGATGGTCCATTTTGCACATAAATTCCATTTTCACATTAGTTTTAAATTCTGTTATTCCATCACTTACTAAAAAATAGAGGTTTTCCAGCAGTTATTCCATTTTTTAATTTTAAAAAAATCAGGTACATGTATCTTCTGATATGGTTAAGACTGCTCATATTGTTTAAACAGCAAAGCTTCTTTCTCATTCACATATTCCCCCTTCCCTAAATTTTTTAAAAATTCCAATATTTTAATTACCAGTAAGTTGACTAAATTTTGATTAAGGATAGGGGTTAGAATCTGAAAATAATAGCTTGGATTTCAGATCAGTTCCCCTCCCGCCCCAATAATGGGGATACCTCTGATGCTAAAATATCCTCCAATTTTTCCACAACAAATAAAATTGTGGGCTGAATCTTATTCAATGCCAGGAAGCATAATTATTTTTACTAACACTATTATTATCAGCGATCCCACATCTGTTATGAAATAATAGGAATGTACTTCATTCTACAGTGACTATACTTTTTCAGTTCCTTAGACCTGTGAAGCAATTCTATATTTTAGAATTGGCACAGCCAGTTTCTTAAAATTGCCATAATCCTTAATGACCAAATGATCTTGAAAAGTCAGCTACTGGAAGCTGCAAAGAATAAATGTAATGCTGAATAGGGTGAAGGGAAATAGTATTATAATTATTTTTTTTTGCACTACCGATTCCATATAGAAACCAGGGAAAGTTTATTTCAGGGAATATTTCCAAGCCTTTTCCATATGCCTCAAAGTTGTTCCAGAAGAATCATGAACATGTACTTTATTTCCTTTAAATAGAGACCTAATTTGTGCGCAGGCCACAAAAACCTGCAGACTCTTGGAGGCTACATCAAATAATCTCTGAGGATGGATGCAATCTAGAAGTTACCAGTTGGTCATCCATTTTCTTCTAAACTGCTCAGTACACATTGAGGAAAATACTGCATTTCCTCCAAATACAATCTATTGACTTTCATGCTGCATGATCAGAAACCTCAGGAGAAATTGTGTAAAACAAACTAGAATCGCATTTATTGTGCATGCCTCACTCACACTCTCCAGCTGACTTGGAAAGGCCTTGAAATCTCGAGAGAGAGAGAGAGAGAGAGAGAGAGAGAGAGAGAGAGAGAGAGAGAGAGAGAGAGAGAGAGAGAGAGAGAGAGAGAGAGAGATCACTGTGAAAATAACTGTTTTGTAGTGCTGAAGGTATTACAAAATAATAATACATTTTTCTGTGCAGATTAAATGTGAGTTCAGATTAAATGTGAGTTGTGGCACAACTCTACAAAGCTCTAAATGTAGATTCTCTGTTTCTGCAGAAGATAATACGTGCATCCATGATGTGGGCAATTTCTAAAATTAAGAGCATGCAAAATATTCAAATCTAGCTCTTTCAGGCACGTGTTTTTGTTTTCTTTGTACAGATTTGGTCAGAAGAGTGTTTTTAATCACACATAAATCATTGTATTTGCTATAATGTAGCACCATAACCTTTGCCCTGAGGATGTGACACTTTCTACACCAGAGGGTTGTTAGGACAGACTAAGTGTATGAAAACATAAATATTTCAAAATGCATTTTGTAGCACTTAGGTTAACAGCTTTAAAGAAATATAAGCAAGAAAAAAATGGTGCAGAATTTTTCAGTGCTGTAAATTCTATTTGGACACTGAGCCTTAACCTGAATGGACCCATTGAACAGCTCCTTTAAAAAATTAACATCTATGAAATACCATTGTGGTGTCTCTAATAAGGCTATTACTTTTCAAGACATATTTTCCAAAACTATCCTAAATATCCTCATTTTACTTTATTTGAATACATTCAAAGGCTATTATGACAGCTGATTTTAGGCACAAAGTGCCTAGTTGGATGACAAGAAAGTTCAGTTCTAGATCAAAAGCAAAAGCAATTTCATCAGAGTGAAGTTTTAAGTTGTCCTTTCTTTTATATTTTCTGCTATACATATAGTGCTCTATAGTGTTCCGCTTTAGTCTAGAAACCCAAAAGAACATGACAATTATGAGTTGTTTTGGTTTGCTTAATCGGTTCTACATTGCCACTGGTTGGTGAGTCACATAAGACAAGGCATAACGTAAGGCAGAGAAATGTTTTAGCAATTCTGAAGGTTGACCAAAAGACAAGAAAATAGAGCCCTACATAATCAGTCAACTGAGCTGACGACTGAGTTGTTGAAGCATGCCACAAATCCTTTCATAAGCTTCTACTTATAAAAGGGTATAATGTTTTTAAAATAAACGTTAACATCCGAGGGTTTACCTACTTTGACTTTTATGTCTAGGTATTACAGCGTACAGAGTCAGTCAAGAAGTATTTTAGATACAAAAATAAGTAAAAAGGAACATCTAGAATAAATCAAGTCCTGTGTATAGATTTTTTAAAAAAAATCTAGTGGCAGATGTTCCCACTTACGTATTATATTTCCTTCTGAATAACAAGCATTTGATACACTTCAATCTGAATTTCCATTATTACAAATACTCCTCCCTCCCTCCCCAACCCAATACTCTACTGATTGTGCCTTCTGTAGCTAAAAATATAACATCCATTACAGGTCTATAGATAGATAATAGCTTCTGTTTTAAAAGCTTGAAACAATTTGACTTACTGATTTATTTTAGAGCGTATAAGTTTTAAAATCTAAATTGACCTAGTGTGGTAGACAGGTGATTGCAACTCCTTGAACAGAGATGGAAATTGTACTTTCCTGTTAGATTGTCCCATGTTTTAACTAGAAATCTTCCTTGGGAAAAACACTTACCCAAGAAACGAAAGAAAGAAGGAAGAGGAAACGGTAGGTGATCTAATATACCCTAATCACCAGAAAAGGCCTGCTCTTCCAACCTCTTCAAATATCCTCCCTTCTCCCACAAAGAAATTATCCCCTTTTCATTTCCCTCTAGCCCCAAATAGAAAAACCTCTATTTCTTTAAAAGAACACAAATAGACACTGTATTATTATTATTTGTTATCTGTTGGGGTATAGAGTTCCCCATTTCAAATGAGTTACTTTTAGATACATCCAGCCCAATTATCCAGATCTTCTTTTTCCCCCATCCTAACTTTTCAGTGAGACAGTGGGTCCCAATACTAAAGCTGTCTCATTTGTTCATGGATTCTTCCTTTTGTCAAGTCCTACAGCTCTGGGACCATCTTGTTCTTAGAGTTGGTTAATCTTGAACCTTCCAATCAGGGAACTGTCTTTCATTAAAGACAGCCAGCATTGCTCCAGTCATTCATTTCTGTTTGCAAAGAAGGATCATTGAGTTCAAACAGTGGATCCATGTTGACAGAATTTGAGAGGTAATCATTTCTCCCTTCATCCCAGGGATGCTGAAGAAAAGAAGTGGCAATAAATGTTTCATCAAAGTCCAAGCTACTCTGGTTAGATTCTGTGAGCACATAATCTTGCCCAGCTGGGCACCACTCCTGTGGGCAATCAATATGTCTTCCATGCACTGTCAAATCTACATCCCTGGTTATTGGGCTGATTGGAGGAGTAATTTCCAGATCTTCAAAGGTAGAGAAATCACCATTTAAGGTGGTGTCAAAGATAGCCTCCCAGTCAAAATCACCTTTGAGAGAGCCAAGCTCTGTCTGTTCTTCCTGAGTAAGCATAGGGGAGGTGGAGAAGCGGGCTACCTTATACATTCGTTTTGGCAGCGGTTGCTTGCGTTTATGGCTCATTTTTCCATCAGCTGGGTTCCAGTTCTGGTCGCTGGTCACTTCTTCAAATTCTTTGAGCAGCTGCTGGGATTCTGCACTGATCTTCAAAATGCTGCTGTTTTTCCAAGAAGTTGCTGATTGGTGAGCTGAAGAACTGGAACTTGCCTCCTGTTGGATTCTTCCAGTGAAGGCTGGATGTATCTGCACAGGGGGCATCCTGCGTTTTTTGAAAGCTCCGTTCATCAGTCTGTCTGCGTACTGAGGATCAATCTTCCAGAAACCACCTTTTCCCGGTTCATCTTTCTCTCGTGGTACCTTGATGAAGCACTTATTCAAGGACAGATTGTGCCTAATGGAATTCTGAAATTTAAAAGGGAAAACTTAATATGAGTTGTTCTGGAAAGGGTGCTAATTTGTAGGGCAAGTCTCTCTACTGACATGAATGCAGTTGAATAGACCCATTAGAATTACCATGTTCTGTTCCAAAAGAAAGATGGAACACTAAAATTGTCTACAAACCAAAACAGATCTTGTGCATCAATGAACAGGTATATTATTCATATAGTACCAAACTATAAATATCTGAAGATCATTGTCTTTAAGATTACACAGGATATATTTTAATGAATGCATTAAACTCATACCAACTGTGTTTTAGTGGATGCCCTGCAAGCAAATAAGGGTAAAATCAGAAAAGGCCATTTAGCTGTTGAGTACAATCTCCTGCATTTTCCAGGAGCTGAAATTAAAACATCTCAGGTAGATCCAGAGCTATTTATCCTCTGATTCAACACTAGTGTGACAGGGAGTCCATTATGTCTCTGAGGAATTGGCTCCCCTGTTGAATTGCTCTTCTGCTTAGGACTTTTTTTTCAGATGGACTTTTCTGTAATTTAAATTTCTACAAGCCTTATTAAATGAAAAATAATTTGGTATATATCACTAGCAACTGGTGAAAAGTTTAATGTTAAACAAAAGGGATGTTAAACAGAATATTGGTATCTGGTCTTTGTCTGCTTTATATTGTACACCTAGGATAGCTTTTCCAGATTGATCCTCTTAAAATGCAAGTTAGTAATGAACTATGGGGAAAAGACATTTTCCACCTGAATTATAAGTTTATATCTGTTTTAACTGTTTCAGTAACCTTCAAACCTTCACTAATGTCTCTAATTCTCCAGAATTTTGAAAATCACTCTTCCTAAATTATAAGTTGTTTAAAAAGATTAAGCAACTAAACAAGCATTGAAATTCAAATTAGTGACTTGAGACAAATACTGAATTATAAAACGTAACAAGGATCTCACTCTTCTCAATCTCATATTTCTAATATTAGACTGACACTAGTTCTCTTATCATTCACACTGGCAGATATTTAACTTTCAGTTAAATGACTCACTCCTACATTCATATTTTCTAAATATAATTATATGGTATGTTTCTGGACTTTATTGAAAAGAGGTTTTTTTAAAAAAAAACAAAAAACCCCCAAAAACTCCCTATATTCCTTACTAAAAAGTAAGAAATGATTTAGTGCACAGAAATAGGAATTGCAGCCAGTATTTTTTTTTTAAATCAAGGTTGTGTTTACATCTTGTAACTTATGGAAAATAAAACATCAATGAGCTTTTTTTCCTTTAATGGACCCTAAAATTGCATGTAAAAATAAAACTAAACCACGGTTTGTTGAATAAGCCAGTGCCAATCTGGCAGACAAGTAAAATAATTCTGGTTCGCCTGGCCAATTCTTGTTTTGTTCCCTTTTCTTCTCTTCTGCCAGAACACAGATGCTTCTCTACTTCCCAGCAGCAGTAAAGAACTAGTCTGCCAGTCTGTGTGTGAGAGGTGTTTTCTCTTTTTTGTATAGTGGGCTCTTTGCTTTTGTGCCTCTGGAGGTTTTGTGTGTGGTTCTTCATTTAACCTCTCAATATGTGTGAGAATGTGGCTGCCAGACAGAATGAGAAATTTGGGAGAAAAACAAGAGGGCTTCCTTTATTTTGAGGAGTGGGTTTCTCTGGTGGCTAATACGTACTGCCACATCCTTCTCTATTTTGATGGGAAATATGGGTAGAAAATGAAAATAATTAAAACAGGATCCAGGGTTCAGATATTACTTGCTACGGTTAAAATCAGTCATACATTCGGTCAATTTCAAGACCAGCTTTGCTGAAAAAACAAACTATGGTTTGTTTTATCTTCTAAGGTGGAGTCATAAAAATCACATAAGGATTATTTCCTCACTAGTGCCATAAAGCATCTTCATAGCATCACCCAACTGTGATTGAAGTTCTATAATGCAAGTCCTTGCCTTATTTTGTCACAATGGGAGACCCTAGAAGATGCTGTAAATTGCCAGGGAGAAAATTACTTTAGTCAAAACAAATCTTAGATTAGTGCCCTGTGTGAGTAAGGGCTGTCTGTTTTCAGGAGTCACTGATGAATTCACGGTTCCTGTTTCATTGATTTTAGGTATGTATAACCATAGCAATTTACAATGGAATGGAAAACATAACCTTCATTCCACATCTTCAGCTCTGGAAAAAAGCAACTTCCTTGCTCTCATCACAGGGCTAGAGAGTAGAAAGACTAGCCAAATATCCATTACAATTCCATGATAGCCAGAAAGCTGGCATTATCTGATTTTGCCCCATCCCAAAATACATCTGGGCTATGCCTGTGGCACTACATATAAGAACTAAGAACTGTTGAATTCACTTTAATCCCAGACAGATACAGATGGGCCCACATAAAAAACACTTACTTTACCCACTTGCTTGCCTATTGAATTATATCTGCACTCCTCTGTGCTTCATCTCAGACATCCAAATATCATCTGATCACTTTGTTGAGCTTTGCACAAAATGGTGTTCTCGTTCATGATCAAAATGAAAAATCATAATGATCAAGAACATTGATAAAGAGATCGATCCTCAAAAGAGGCATTTCTAATTTTACAAAAGAAAAAATGTGTCCAGAGTGGTGGAGCCCAATCCCCAAATAAATTCAGTTATTCAGTAAATAACTTGATCTTTCAGTACACCAAGCCAGGAGGGTGTTAAGAGATTGGATATGGTGAAGGATTGTGTGGATTTTTTTTAAAATGTTGCCTAGATATCTTTATGCTTATTCATCCATAATCCTTATTGCCAAAGAGCAAAAGCAGGACTTGAATCCCTGGAGGGCTAAATAAAAACCTATTCCTCCAGGCTGAATTCCCTGGGTATCTTGGCTCTTTTCCAAAACATACAACTGACTCCCACAGGAATCTCCTTCCATCTTCCCCCCTGCCCTGCTTATGGGAGGCCTGACATTTTGACTTGGAGTCTGTATTTACAGGAATGGGAGCTAGTGAGACGGGTGAGAATGTGGACATCAGTGGAAGGAGGGAGGGAGGGAGGGAGAGAGAGAGAGAGAGAGAGAGAGATTCTTGCAAACAAACTGATCTTGGATGAGTTAGAATTTATTGTATAATGAAATCTTATAAGGGTCAATGAATACTCCCTTGCCCTGCCTTAGAGTAATTTCAAATCTGCTGGGCCGTGGGCAGCTGCTTGTGCCACAGCTAATTAACATTTTTATAATTTTCCCTGCAACTATCAGCCAAACCACCTGCATCTTTGCAAAGAGATACCGAATGTTATCAGAAAGAAAGGAAAAAGAGAGAAACAGGTGTCTAATCTAACTGGTTGCACATACCCATAAGATCAAGCTTTTTTTCCCCTTCTCTCTTAGCGCTCTTAGCGCTCACTTACTTTGTTTATTCTAAAAAAAACATAGCATCTCTCTGTTCTATGACAATCTCATGGGGAACTAGGAGATTTAAACACCTGGCAATATGCTCAAAAACTGGGTACTGTACTTCATGTTCATTAATTTTTAGCTTTGCACTCTTTACTGATATTCTGGTTGTAGTTTCTCTGTAAACAGAATATAAATCCATTATTCTCAATTTTGATTCTGAAAACTTGACTCAGCCATTAGCAAAAATCTGAGTCCCTCATTTAGTCACACACTTAATAACTATGGGTGCTTTAGGGGAGGTTTGCATTATTATGATTTCATTCTCCCAAGTTCAGAGCTACTTTATAGGTTGACTTCCAGTTCTCTACATATATTTATTTTTAAATTAAACTGTTGGCATCAATTAAATATTTTTGGAATACTGCAAATGCATATTCCTTTGCTGCAAGTATATTAATGGTGCTTCTTGAACTGAAGTCTTTATGCAGATTCTCAATCATTCAGGTCATGATTATCCCAAAGGTGCTTTTCCAAAAGGCAGCTGGACTTTCTTGGTTTTTTTTTTTCTTGAAAATGTCTCGCTTCTCATCCAAGAAGCTTTTAGAACTGAAGAAACTTCTTGGATGAGAAGCAAAATGTTTTCAAGGAAAAAAAACCAAGAAAGTTCATTTGCCTTTTGGAAAAGCACTTTTGGGTCTTGAATTGAGGCTTAGTGTGTTACTTAGGAGCAATACCAATGAAATGTCCAAAAGATGTTGTCTTATACTTCAGAGAAGTATAAGAAAAAATTTATTTTCAAAGATATTTTAGAATTAATTCATATGTGGCATTGCTGGTTGTGAGAGAAAATAGCTTAAATTCTGTATAACTCTGTTGCTTCAACAGAGTGGGATGAAAAATATTTGGGAATAATAAGGTCCTTTGAACATCCTAATCTTTCAAAACTCCTTTTTTTTTGCATTCCTAACTGTGATAGGCAATAAAATTAACAAATTATCAAAATGATATTAGAATATTGTTAATTTTAAAACAAAGAACGTGGGTGTAAGAGAGAATAAAATAACTGTTTATACTGCAGTTATACTGCACTGTATGTATGTATGTATGTATGTATGTATGTATGTATGTGTCTATCTATTATCTATCTATCTATCTATCTATCTATCTATCTATCTATCTATCTATCTATCTATCATCATCTAATTTACACAGCCAACTAACACGCCAAAAGTGACTATGGGCGACATATAACAAAGCTAAAACAGCAATTAATAATACTTATTATGTGTTACATGCAAGTGTTACTTAAATATTCAAAACTGTAATATTATGAAAAGGCTTTTTCAAGAATATACCAGATTTCCCCTAACCCTAAAAATGCATTATCCACACCATTTATTGTGGTTTTCCAACAAATTACTGAAAAACCAAATTATGTGACTCCAGAAAGTTCATCAGATTAGCATTTTTATCATTTAAAAATATATAGCATCTCTTCAGATTTAATTTAGGTTTAATTTAGGACAAATAATGAGGAACTGGTATAGTCTAACTTTGGGACCAACCAAAGGAGTTAAATGGGAGCCAAATGTGGAGAAGGGCCAACATAATGGATGGATGCTGCTGTAAGATGTAAGAACCCCTGTACTCAAGAGATCATACTTCATTTGATAATGGTATATTTTGTTGAGACAACAGTGTACCTAGAATTATATAAGTATATATGTTTGCATGTATAAATGAATGACAGTAATAGGAAGCTGCTTATGGACATATCAGGATATAGAGGGACACAGAGATGAATGAGCAGAAAGTTGTTGTTAAAACTTTCTCAAAGAAATGCATCCTTTCAATAGATCTGAAGTAATGTCAATCAGCCCAAGACATGACATTCCTGTATAAGTAGATAGATAAAAACAAATAAATTATCATAGATTTATCTTCTAAAACAAACTTACAGGAACATATATCCCAGTAATATCACCGAACAAGAACAATTTACTGACATAAATGTCTTATATGAGGAATTTCTACACCCTTCCTCCCTAGTGGGAATTATAACATGAAGGAAATCAAGTGCATATATGAAATAGTTATTTTGTCATCAGGGCAGGAATTATTCAGTACATTACAATGAGGTCATTATTGGCAGCATAGGAGCAACCATGGAATAAAGATTGACCATAGTCAGTTGTTAGCACTTCAGAAATTGGGTTGAATTTCAACTTCTGTGAGGGGATGGGGTGAATTTCAAGTGCTGTGTTGGTATCTTTGGACAGGCAATGAAATTGTATTACTTAACTTTGGTATCTTCACTATAATATCTAGCAACTGACTTACTACTAATCAGTTACAAAAAGAGAAAATGTTAGGGTTTTTCTCTGATATTCTCTGCTATGCTTCAATGGGATTTTATCTCTGAGATTCAACATTACACCCTAATCTGTAATTTTATAAACACAAGCGAAATCAGATACAAGAATGCCTGGATGAAACACATTTTCTTTTGGTTGAGGTTAATTGGGGATGGTGTTAAAAAGATTTTTGCTTGTATAATGTTGGTTTTTAAGTATCCTACTTCTACTGAGAAATGTGGGCAAATCACAGGCAGAGATCATATAAACTAAATTATACAGTATTGTCATTTGTTTGGCTTTGCTGTGCATTGTATGAAGTTAGCGGCTTGGATTTATAAATTATGTCTTAAAGTAATGTGTAAATCCATAATGACTTATTCAACAAACAGTGAGTTTAGTGTGATGCTTGAAACAATCTACACTTTTACAAGCACTGAAATTACAAATAAACATCACGAAATGTACCATTTCTCCTTATATAGCACTCAGCCAAAATTGAATAAGTGCATTAGAAAAGACCTAGTGATTACCTCTTATTTGATCTTCCCTGGTTTTCTTATTCACTTCAGTCTTTGGCTCAAATATATTTTGATAAATCACATAGAGCCAAATACAGTATTAAGTGTGCCAGCTATGGTAGTAACTGGAGATTCAAAAAGTATATGGCAAATTCCTGTCTGTTCCTTCTGGGCACTCCTAGTTACTGACTCTTTGATGGAAGTTGCTATGATCAGTACTGACATAAGATTCAACTGTAAGTTCAGTTGGCTTCTACATGGAATGAGGGAGGGTGCCATCTTGTTTTCTGCTTCAGGAAGCAAACCATTTTGGGCTGTTCTTGTGTCTAATAAAATAGCCCGTCACTTCTGTTCATTTCTTTTCTCCTAGTATCTTTTCTCACTTGCTTATTGCTAATTCTTTCACATCTTTCTTCATCTTCAGTCCTGTGGAACACCAGATGGCATCCAGCTCTTTGCCTTGTATATAACTGATATAGCCAGAGCTTTTGATCTTCCCTCTCCATGGATTAAAGGAGGGGGGGGGAGGAATGAAAAAGAATCTTCCTTAGGTCAGGTTACCAGTTAATATGTTCTTTTCTTTCCCTGTTCCATCCTACTCCATAACCGGTAAGAATGGTTGCTTTAAAGCTTTCTTACTACAGTGGCATTAACCTGGTTTCTTCTGTTTATGACAAACCAAAATCTGGAGTATAGGAATTGAGCATTAGAAGCTGAATATGGATTGCTTTTCATAACAAGTTGCCACTTCCAGATTCTTATGGAGAATCGAGATATTTCAAGATAAAGCAGTATGTTAATGGCAAAGCTCACAGCCTTCTCTTTGGGCCAGTGTAGTATCAGCATTCAAAACCCTAAAGATTCTAAAAGCATTTTAGTTAATGTTATGGTTCAATAATCCTTCATAAAATATATAAATACCTCTGGAAAAATCAACTGGCCTCTTTTCTCTGTAGATAATTCTCTTATCTTTTGGATCTATATTTGTGACTGAATGAATTAGAGGCATCCAGTGTATGACAGAGAGGTAATAGCCTCCAAGCAATTTTTAGATGCACAGTATCTTTGATCAGGTTGATATGTTGTTCTAAGCCATAATATGTAGGTTTGGGGTTCAGTGTATTGTATGAACCCAGCCAACATGGCTATAAATAATAGTTTATAGTGCAATATCTAGCATGACTCCAGTAAGCTGTACTTTGTCTACTAATCAAAGACAGTTGGAGAAGAAACCCACAAGGTCCCCAAGAACTGTTCCATTGGCTTAAGGCCTGCTCCAGTCTTTGCATCTAGTTTGGATGCATTCCAACAGAAAGGGAGTCAGAACTGAAGTGTTCAAATTTTGAAACTAATGCTATTAGTCTTTGCAAGACTTAAAATCTTGATTTACTTCCTATCCCAAAATTCAAAACATGCAAAAAAGGTCCTATTTTTTGAGATCCCACCTGCTCTCGGGCCCATAGAAGGAAGGGTGATGAGCCACATTTTTTTGTACCCAATGGTAGCTCAGTAGGTGGACGGCGTCTAAGACACACTGGGCCATACAATAAATAGATCTGACCACTGTGAAGATTATTATCCGATTCCTTATCCTTTTGTAATTTTTTAAAATAAACCATATTTAAACTACTTAACTTTTGTCTTGTCCACTATATTTCAACTTTCCATTTTTTTCTATTCATCCCTCCTTATTTTCTCTTACACATTTTCCTCAGACATTTTGTATACTTCCTACAACAGCCTTCCCAAATAGATTGTGGATTATGGGAGTTGCAGTTCAAACATGTGTGGACAACTTGGGGAAGGTTGTACTTGAACACATTTTTTATACTGGCATTCTAATTGTGATTCTGTTTTCTATAACTACAACGATTAGCCTCTGAATAATCCACAGTGTAGATAACTACTACCTTTAAAGGAAGAACATGCCTGTTTACATTGTTCTGTTTTCTCATTTACAACAATCTCTTGTGCTACTAAGTGCTTACTCCAAGCAAAACACTTCAATAGGAAACACACCGTGTACAGTAATTGTACTCAAGGGAGAAGGAAGCAGAGAAAGGTTCAGCACGAACACTAAGTGCCATTGGTTACTTTCTAATGTCATGGTGGGTTGTCAACAAATCTATTCTTCTCTCAGAAGAGTGTCCTACAGGCAGAAAACTTAGCAACTTGGTTCTCATATAAAATGGCAAAACTGGAAAAAAAGAAATATGTTACTTTTTGAGGAAACTTGGTCCAAAAAGTAAAAGGGCTAACTTTGTAATTTAAAAGTGCTATAAACTGTTTGTAGATCTACCATAGTTGTTTCTGAAATCCCTGGACATGTAATTTTAGAAGTTATTCTTAAGCCCGATAAAATGTTAACCTGATTTACCTAGCATGCAAAGGAATTATACTGAAAGTCATAGAGAAATTGTCAAAACCATTATAATAAGTCATTACTACTGTTGGATGCATTTTGAATGAAAAGCTAGTCATTAATTCAAAACTGATATAAGTACGCAGGCACTATAACATCCCACACATAATTAGGTTCCTTACTCAACAGACAGTTGCCAAAACAGGAATTTTCCTAGTCACCTACCTGCCATGTAGGGTCAGCATGCCGGAAATAGCAGAAATTATCAGTAATCCATTTATAGATGTCTGAGAGGGTGATCTTTGTTTTCTTGCTTGCTTCCATTGCCATGCAGATGAGGGTAGCATAAGAGTAAGGAGGTTTCACATGAGGGTTGGTCTTGTAATCTATGTTTTCTAGTGGCTGGCCTTGTAGATGTGCAGTCCTGGATGTGGAGGAGGAAATTGGCTTGCCAGGGGTATGGGGCATTCCCATGCATGCTGGATCACCAGCAAGGGGCGAACATGGTGCAGCCGAGCCAGGTATTTTGTGATAACCATGAGGATCTGTACTGCATAGGGAAGAGGATGACTTGCCCATGTTTGCATTGATGATGGAGAATTCCTGAAGCCACTGTAGGCTGGTCAAGCTGTCGTCCAGGTTGCCCGAATCCATTATGCTATTGTCCTGACTTTTTTCTTCCTCTGACTGCATATTTAGCCAGCCGTCAGTCATGCCAGTGGAAGTCAAAATAGGCAGGTCCAACATTCAGGAATTGTGGGAGAGCAGGAAGGGGGGGGGATTGGAAAAGAATGGGGAGGATGGGTAAGGGAAAAATCCTGAAACAATAACATGAAGACGTTCAAGGTCCCTAACCACTACGCAGCACACAGATGTACCCTTGAGTAAGTTACTTCCCAGCCAAACATTAAAAAGCACAGGAACCAAATATATTCTGGATGTAACCCTAGAGAATGGAGTCACATCTCTCAAATCAAATCATCCTTCTCAACTATAACAGCTTACTTTATGTAGGCCACAGTGGTGATAAATTGGGTGGAATTTGCTCAATCCCATTTGGCAAGGTTTTTCTCAAAACTGCCGTGAGTCTGAATAGCTTTGTTCCTATTGAAACACCATTATAACACAGAAAGTAAGAAACCACTGAAATAATCCCTGATATTTCTCTCATTGTTATAAAATTTTTTTAATTTCATTATATATATATAATGAAACACCAGCCTGAAGATGACGAATGACGAATGGGACTTCGTCGAAACATCGCCAAGAAACTTCCAATTTGATGCGGGAGAAAACCCGAATAACCAAAGACCTACATATATATATTCATTATATATATATTCATTACATATATGTGTGTGTGTGTGTATGTATATATCACTCTGAATTGTCTTTGAAAAAAACGGATGGAGATATGAATACATATATTTAAGACAGCAATTCTATATACACTTACCTGAGTATAAGCCTTATTAAATGCTGTGATGTTTATTTTTAAGCAGATATGATCAGGACTACACTTACAATAACACTAATAATTATTGAACATATCTTCCACTATCCAAATTAGTAAGTACTGGGTGTATAACTTCTTTTCACAATGGCTAGAACTGCCAATCCTATCCTGGGCATACATATTCAGAACAAATGGGAAGTTTTGTTCTTGCTGAAAGTACCTCAATACAGAACAGTCTGTTCAACAGACTGAAAATTATTTCCACTGATGATATGAAGCTAAACAATTTAAGCTAGACAATTTAAACAAACTTACAGATTCTTATAGATTTTCTGGCCAATTTTAAGGGGGCACTGATACAGGTTACAATCACACAATAAACTGGAAGGATCAACCACATATAAGAGCAATAAATACTTGTCTTTAGGTGTACAGTCTCCAGAACGAAGAAATGAAAATCATGCCAAACACCTTCGTGTTAAAGACATACAAAGCCAACCCCAAATACACTACCAAGATCGTTACCTTAGTTTAATGTCTCCTCCACTCCCTTGAAATGAAAGTTTTTCTATATGGTAACTGATTCAGGGAACCCGCGATCACCGTTTGATGCGGTGGATGTGGGAAGGAGAATAAGGCTTTCCCAATATAATGGGAGGTAGAAACCTAAACGTCCCTCTTCTTAGCCAGCCTAATAAATAAATAATCCTGTCATCTTACCTGCTCCTATGAAGAAACCCCACTGTTGCCAAAGGCTTACAGCTAAACGGGGGAGGGGGGCTCTTCGGTGGGGTAACGAAGAAAAAAGGGAGGGGGAGAGGGGGATTTCTACTGTTCTCCCGTCGGATAAATTATTAAAGCTGCCAGAGCCCTTTTATCCCAAAGGTACTGTGATTTGTAAGCAACAGAATGACTGTCAATAAGTAGCTGCTCCAAAAGGCTTCTCTGGATGCCATGGAGACGCTCCGCCTCTATAAACAGCTTCTGCCCTTCTCATTGGTCCTCGGGTCTCCATGGAGAGCGCAATCATTGACAGCCCCCCTCCCGTTTTTCTGCTCAGTTCTATGACTCTGCACCAACTTTTTATCCCCCGTAAATCTTCCCTTTCTCGCTTTTTTCCCCCCTGCCGGTTAATTTTTAGTTGCAGGTGGGGGAAGAAGGCTGGCCTACGAAAACCCGGAGACCTGAGTTTGCCCGGTGTCACACGTTACCCTGACACGTGAATGTCTCTCCCCGTTTGGACGCGCTCGACAAGGCGGAGGCGTTCGTTCGTTGGTTCGTTCGCTTGCTGAGGGCGAGGGATTAGTCTGTGGTAACGCCGCCGAGGGGGCGCTGGGAGCTTACTGCTGTGAGTTTCATTAAGACAAATTAAAGTCCACTTGAAACGGCTCCCAGATGCCCATTATTCTTTGGGTGGCGGTGGTGAAGGGGCCCGTCTGCCAAGAACAAACGGCCCAGCAACCAGAAAGATCCATGCCTTGAAAAGAAAGGGAACCATTTAAATCGCCTGTTCCTTCCTCTCAAAACTTGGCAATCCCAGCCTCTTAACTAGCTGTTGCTTTGCCCAGCCTCCTCAGGAACGGACTGTTGTGGCTTCTCGCTTGGATTGCTTGTTTATTTATTTAAATCATCATCGTCACCACCACCACCACCATGATCTATCAGAGACAGTACTTGTGTCTTGAAGTTGTCTTTTCCAGAAGAGGCACTGTAGGAAAGGGGGAGGACATTCAGGGGCAAAGGTTTCTCTCCTGCCCTTGAACTCTTGCCACAGCTGCTTTGACAGTTAGCTTCTCATGACTTCAGAGACCAAATTGATCCCCTGCCTAGACCTCCTGCAGTTAAGGGGCACTCATGCCCTGGGATAGAGGCATGGGGGAGGAAGGACTATGCCAGCCTCCTTTCTCCTTTCAGGCCACTGAGTTGGACCTGAAACTGCCTGCCTGACCTTTGTGTGCAACCTGATCAGTGGGGAGGGGGAGAGGTGAAACCAGAGCTCAGGTAGATTTGGGGGAGGGAAGTGACAGGCCCTCAATCAGAAAGATTGCAGCATCTTTCCCCCTTTTTAATTAAGAGGCAGGGGTAGGAATCCTCCTCTGGAGGCTCCTTCTTTGTCCCCCCCCCATCACCTTTCTCTCCTTTGAAAGAAAGCATAATCGGGAAGGATATTAGATATTTATCACGTTCTTCAAGAAACTGCCGTCAGCTTCTAGCACCAGGCCATTTTATTCTTCCCAACTTCCCTAGCTAAGGAAGAAAGTTCTCTGTTGGAGCAGCTTTTCCAGCACTGCTTCTACCACACTCTTCTGCTTTTCCTGTCCCTCATTTCTTGTTTAGTCCCCACAGGCTACCTTTGATGCAAATGCATTATCAAAACACATTCCTGCAAGAGACATTGCTCTACAAAGGGAAGAATGAACCTACCTTTTCCAGGTTATCTGTTGCTGTGATGAGTTTTTGATGATGAAGGGCCTTTTTGTGCAGAAAGAGACAGTGGTGACATCATGAAAACGGACTAGTGGGATCCAGGCACTTCTGTTAATCAGTCACCTCTTTTGCATTCTTTGAAAACTCTGTAACAGGATAAGGATGGAAAATGCAGAAACAGAAGCAGTCCTTCTGGGTAACAAAATAATGAAAATGAAGACTCCTTTTTTATTGTTAGGTTTTTTTTATCTCACCTTCATTTTTTGTTAAGGTGGCATATATACATAATACTCCTCCCTCCTCCTATTTTCTCCACAACAATAGCCCTGTGAGGAGGGTTAGATTGAGAGAGAGAAGGAGTGGTCCAGAATCATCCAGCTGGTTTTCATGCCTAAGGCAGGCCTTTGTGAAGCCACGAGGTCTTCCAATTTCTAGCTTGCACCTTAGCAAAATCTTTCTTGGCTTCTGATTACCAAAATATGAATTGGGGTACTATAAGTATACAGTAGTTGTGATTCAAACAAAAGTCAGGGGAACCCAGGGTCAAATTCCTAGATGTTCTTTCTCAACCGAACCTACCTCACAAATAATATAAATGGAAATTGCACTCTTTTGTGTTCTTGGAGGAAATATAAGGAACGAATCCAAAAGTCAGAATTACAAAGCATTGGGAGGCTTCCCTTGGTATGGGTTCTGCTATAACATAAAGACACCCTTCTGCACTGATGTAACTTCTCTGCACTACTCCTGACATTTGCATACCATGCAGCTTACAAAAACTTCAGACAATGCCCCTCTCTGGCGGTTACTCATTTTGGAAGCTGGCCCAGCTCAGCCGGTAAAGAAAGGTTGCAGCCCTGCCATTTGGTCACTCCCCCCAAAAAACAATGTAAAATGTGAGGGAAAACTCACCCTTCTGCCTTCCCCATCTCAAAGTGAAAATTATGTGGACCAGGTCTTTGTTGTAAGAAATGGTGGGTTTCATCTCTCATGGGCCAGACTACATGGAAATTTGGTGAGTTAAAACTTGGGAGAGGATTCAGCATCCAGGATGGCTGAGCTACTGTCTCAACTGCCTCCCAGTTAGAACCTGTCTTGTGCTAAGGCATTCACGGTTTGAGGTTCAAGCCAGATGAATCTTCTTTTCATTTCATTTATATAAAGGCAATGATTGGCACTTGAATTTTATTTCAATACTGGTATAGGCTTAGTGTCCTTCAAACCACTTCAGGAGATTGGCTCAAAGAGGATACAAAGGTCTGTTCATTCAGGTGTCATTTTTTTCCCTCTTTGTGCCCCTTCAAAATTTGGTTTTTGCAGTAGCTATCTCCTTCTTTTTAATAGTAGGCTAGATTTTTTTAAATGGCAAGAAAACAGAGATGCTGATAATTTTGTTGTCTTTTGAATTAGTAAGGCACAGTTGAATTTGCAGACAGAACTAGGGTTGCATGGTAAAAGGAAAAAAGAAAACATGTACTGATAGTCCTTGACGTACGACTACAATTGAGTCCAAAATTTCTGTTAAGTGAAACATTCGTTAAGTGAGTTTTGCCCCATTTTACGACCTTTCTTGCCACAGCTATTAAGTGAATCTTTGCTTGTTGAAAAGTCACAAAAGGTGATCACATGACCTTGGAACACAGCAATGGTCATAAATATGATTCAGTTGCCAACCATCTGAATTTTAATCATTAGGATGCTGCAAAGGTCGTAACTGTGAAAAACGGTCATAAGTCAAATTTTTCAGTGCCATTGTAACTTTGAACAGTCACTAAACGAACTGTTGTAAATCAACTACCTGTACTTTTGATGTTGTGGTAGTGTTAATTTTGCTATCGATAGTGCATATAAGAATTAAAAAAATCATTAAGCTGCACTGCTTGCTAATATGTAATTGAAACTGTTTATTTTCAGAATTATGGTTATTCATAAAATGAGAGCAAAATTTGTGTTGGCTTCCTTGCTTCCTTGCAGTTTACATCAGGAGTGTCCAACCGTGGCAACTTTTAAGACTTGTGTACTTCAACGCCCAGAATTCCCCAACAAGCAAGGTTGGACATCCCTGGTTTACATTATTTTAGGTCAGAGAAATATTCACTTGAGATTTAAACATCACCCCTTCTTTATCTTGCATTCTTCAGGAAGACTTTATGATGCAACACACAGGCATACCAGTGAAGCCCCCAGATTTTGCTGAACTGTATCTCCCAGCAGCCTCCCTCTCTCTCTCTCTCTGGCTATGTTGACTGGGAGAGCTGAGAACTACAGATCCACTCATCTGGAAGGCTGCATAATTTGGCTTCCTTTTTGGTCAGGAAATTATGAATCGTGAAGTTGGTGTCGTCACCATTACCTTCTTCATTTTCTTTCACACTACAGACTTTGGTCTTCCTGGCTTAACACAAGAGGTGCTCCTTTTAAAACTTAGCATTATACTTGCAGGGGAAATTAGATGGGAAGAAAGACCATATCATATGATTTTTCTCTGTTATCCCCAACTGCAGCAGGAGAGGGAATGGGGAATAGGGACACTTCATTGGCCTGGCTGAAAGAACAACTCCTGTCACTGAACTGTACCCAGTTAATCATTGTGCAAAGATCACTATAATTGTGGATTATAATTAGGAAGTGATGGTAATTCTTTCCACCTTTTCCCTGTCCCTTTTTCCTTCTATTTCATATTTTTTTAGATTATAAGGCTGCATGAAGGAACTAAGAAAATAGAATAATGGCATAGAAATGTTTTAAAGAAACCACTTCAAGTTTCCTTTAACTTTTGCAGTGCTTCTGGGAATTGTAGTTTAGCAAAGTTTGGAGGGATTAAAAACTGCCCACTTCTAAAATATTGTAAATAAACCTATATAATGAGAAAAAAAAGTTTCCTGAGAACATTGAAAGAAAAGCTGCATTCTTTGCAAAGTACCACTTAATAGTCCATGCTGGCTAGAGACAACTAAAATGGATTGCTCCTGTTAGGGATTGACAATTACTGCAACACACAGTTCTTAATATATTTGTAAAGTTAACTGATTAATTTAGCTGGAGGTGGGTAGGAAGCATTTAAAAATACAAGGCATTGTTGAGGGGGGGGGGAATTAAGGCTTTTAAAAGCTTACATATCCTATAGATTGGAAACGCTTAAATTTGGCCCGACTAGCTTTTAAATGTCATCATCACCCACATGAAATAGCATATTTACTTCTCTGTTGTATCTTTCTAAGAATATCATAAGCCTAAGGATGCATAATTCTCTTCCATATTACTCTCTATAGCAGTGGTTCTCAACCTTTCTAATGCCGTGACCCCATAATACAGTTCCCCATGTTGTGGTGACCCCCAAGTGGGTGTGGCCACCAATAAGAGGGAGTAGGACAGCTAGGGAAAAGGGAAAAAAATGGCGGACAGCGTGGTTTGGCGACCCCCATGAAATGGTCATTCGACCCCAAATGGGGTCCCGACCCACAGGTTGAGAACCACTGCTCTATAGGCTAAAGTTCCAAGAAAAGATGGCAAGTATTTGGGTAAGAGTTTATTTTTTTTTAACTTTTAAATCTCCATGTGACCTTAGTTTTAAACGTGTTCCCTCATATTTGATTCCCTAGCACAGTGGTTCTCAACCTGTGGGTCGGGACCCCATTTGGGGTCGAACGACCATTTCACGGGAGTCACCAAACAACGCAGTCCGCCATTTTTTCCCCCTTTTCCTTAGCTGTGCTACTCCCTTTTATTCTATTGGCTTTTGAAAGCCAGTAGAATAGACTCTCTTGAATAGAGTCTAATTCTATTGGTTTTCAAAAGCCAGTAAGAATTATCCAGGCTGTCTCTGCCCTGCTGAGCCCGCCAAAAGTCCCATTCTGCAAACGGTGCTGCACCAGTTGAGTAGTCCTCGACTTACGACCGGTTGGGAGTCACGGCATTAAAAAGGTTGAGAACCACTACCCTAGCAGGTTTTCTGCTAATAAGAACAGTCTCTTTTAAGTTCCATGCTCTATGGAGAACAAGCTGACTTCTGTTAAAAAGATACCTCCCTTGCTGCTGTCCTAATTCTGTACAATTTTTCTTCTGAAGGAGCTTGCATGATTTCAGAGCAAATGTTACTGCTTTTTCTCTTAGGGCGACATTCTGATTCTGAAGGAAGTAGTCCTATTATTTTTATTGACCTGCAAGTCTCTGTGTTGCATTTTATGAATTGTGTAAATAATTTGAATCAATCCCCCCAAAATAGTTCCCTATATGAAGCTGTATTGCAGCACCTCCCCAAATCTTCATTAAAAAAGAAGAGTCTGGTGGACATTAGAAAAAGGGCTGAATACAGCAATTCTTGCATTTGAATGTCCATGCAACTGTGCCAGCAACTTTTCATTTTGAAAATGCAGAAAGTGTGTACCGTTTTGAATGAAAGTTCTTGAATAAACCACAGGATCTCCTCCCTCCCACAATCTTTTATCTTTAAAAAGCTTATTTTTGTCTCTGCAGCCTTTTGTGTAAGTCAAACCCCTTTCTCTGGAATAGCAACATTTGGCTCTTGCCTGCCCTCTTCTGGTTTTCAAGCCTTATTATATCTCCTAAATCAGAAGTCCCCAACCTTTTGGGCACCAGGGACCTGTTCCCTGGAGAGATTTTTCCGCCGACCCGGTAGATGCATGATTTTGTGTGCTGCCTGCATCTCACAGATGGGGCTTTGCTTGTTTGTGTGGACCGGTTGCTGGTAGTTCTAGGTTGCTTCTCTCCTTGATTAGTTTCCATCCGTTGCTTCTTGTCCTGCCTTCAGGTGCTTTGGAGAATAGCTTGACTCCCTCTTCTTTGCGGCAGCCCCTGAGATATTGGAACACTCTATCATGTCACACCTAGTCCTTCTCTTCATTAAACTAGACATACCCAATTCAAGCAACTGTTCTTGATATGTTTAAGCCTAAAGAGAAGCAGATTACTTGGTATCTGTGCACTGGTGTCAGTTGGAAGGATTCAGATTAGGCACTAGGAAAAGATTTGGGTCAAGCAAACCTGTGCTAGAGAGGGGGGCTTTACCTGAACTGAAATAGAACAAATACTTACAGATACAGAACATCCAAAGGCTGGTAAAATAAGCTTTAAGCTAAACCATGAAAGAAAAGTCAATTGGTGTTGGGCAATATCTGGTTTGGAAGAGTGTAGTTATGTCTCAAAATAATGTAATAGACAGACCAATGTTAGATGTGAGTTAATTGGTGGACATATTACATGTTTAAAAAGCAAATTATTAACTATTATTTTGAAAGGGTCTGCAAATAAAAATGCCAACATTAGAATGCCTATGTACAAATCCATAGTACAGTGTGCCTGCATCTGGACTACTAAATACTGTCTGGTCACCATGTTTGAAAAAGCAATTAATGGAATTGAAAGAGAAACAGAATTCAACCAAAATGCTCAGGTTAGTTGCACGTCTTTTTTCTATAAAAAAAACACTGGAATATTTGGGACTCTTTAGCTGGGGGAAAAAGGTGGGAGGTGTATATGATTTGTGGAAATTATTAGTCAACCCGTTGTTATAGCTACTAACTGATGGCTTTAAAAAGACATTGATAATCTATCAAAGGCTTTTGGTCTTTAAATTCGATGTTACTTCAAAACTGGTGATAACATGCTTCAACATACAGGTAATCCCCGAGTTATGAACATTCCCTTAGCGAACGCTTGAAGTTACGTGATAAGCACCCCCTAGTATTTATGAAAAAGTCCCAAAATTACGAATGTTGCACGGCAGTCGTTCATCCTTATGAATGACCACAGAGGCACTGCAACATTCACCATGGCTATTCCCTCCCCCTTCCCGCCCCGGGTCTCCCTAGGCACTAGGCCTGTGGATACTCACCTTGTGAAAATCTAATCTTTGCTTTCTTGGCTGTTTCGCTGCTCCAGGCCTTCGGTACTTTTGCAGAGGATGGAAGCCTACAGTACCGCAAAATCACACAAGATCAGTGGTGCGAGATCTCACGCTATTGATTTTATGTGATCTCAGAGTACTTTGGCCTCTGTTCTCTGTAAACGGAGGCCTGGACGAGAGTTGCAGCAAAAGGCTTTGCAAATGGAGGCAAGGGCTAAAACATTGAAGCCTTCCCCACTTGCAAAATCTTTTGCCATCTTTGCAAAAAGCCTCTGCTGCACAGTATACAGCTCTGGGTTGACACATGTGTCATCCCTGGCCTCTGTATCGCCAGCAGAGGCTTTAGGAGAGGCCTCTGCCACCCAGAATGGAAGTCGGGAGTGGCAGCCACTTGGCTCCGGAGGTCTATTCTTGGCAGTGGAGGCCTCCTCCAGGACAAACACTTTAGGGCCAGAGGCCGAAAGCTTCTGGGGGCCATGATCTCGTGCTCAGGCACCTATCCACTTTTGCAGAGAATGGGTACTTGACTTCCCACGAGATCAGGGCATCCACAAGCTTTCAGGCTCTGTGTGAAAAGTGTTTGCACACCAAAAGGTTCGAAGCAACATGATTTTGTTGCCCCAAACTTCCCTTCAGTGTGCAAACGCTTTTCCGTGCTGAGCCTGGAAGTCTTTGGAGGAGACTCATCAAGGCTGCCCGCCACTCCAGAAGTGGCCGGCAGCCCAGTGAGCAGAGAAGCCGAGCAGGGCGCACTCATCCTACTCTCCCTCTCCTCTCAGGGGAAGCAGACAAAGAAACAGGCTGGAGCAGAGACAGATCTTCACAAGTCAATGACCCATCATGGCAGGATGGGGGTGAGAGCAATTGTTGGGACCCCAAGGGAGGGAGAATGAGGTATTTCAGTGGGTCGGGGAAGGCCTGGGTGGTCTGAAGTAGTTGGCATGTTCCATCACGAGGCCTACCCTGAGATACCTCATGTTTACTTAACGAGTCACGCATTTGCCCACACATTAAATTAGCGAATGTGTGGCCGAAAGCAGGGAGTGATCACATTCAAGATACGAGATTCACTCCTATGAATCCTCGAGTTACGAATGGAATGGGCAGGCTCCACTACATTCGTAACTTGAGGACTATCTGTATCACCTGCAAAGGAACAACTGCAATGTGTATATATGTATGCGTGCGTCTTTTTCCAGCAAGGACTCCTGAGACATCTGATTAGCCACTGTGAAGAAACAAAATGCTGGACTAAACTGATTTTTGTTCTAATTGGGCAGATCTGTTCTAATGTTCCTGAATGTGCTCCTTTATATCAAAGCTCATCCAGAAATTCTAGAATGTCTGCTACTGGTCCTGAACTGGTCCTGACACGAAAGAACAATCTACAGCAGGGATCCCCAACCTATCCGTTTCATGCCAGAAACTGGTCCGTACAAACAAGCGAAGCCCCATCCACAGGATGCAGACAACATGCAAAAACACACTCCCTCCAGTCCGCGGAAAAACCTCTCTCCACAGAACCGATCCCTGGTGCCCCAAAGGTTGGGGGTCACTGACATACAGTATGCCTGAACCAAAATGTGTTTTGAATGTTTGGTCTATACAGAAAATAACACAAAACTAGTTCACTCAGGATATAGGTTGAAATCTGGTTGCTCCATGCCCAACCATTTGGTAAAGTAAAGATGAGGAAAAATCCAAGAGTGTAGCAGCAGCAGAGGGGAGACAGGAAAAGTGTTGGAAAGAATACAGGGCAGGTAGGCCAATAAAATATGGTCTACTGGACAGGTATTCCTTACTGCTGAGATCATCTATTATATTGGAGACCATGGCTACAGGAGGGAAGAGAAGGAAAGGCATATGCTGGAAACAGTCACGGCAGCAACACTGTGGTAAATGAGAAGAAAAAGCACTGGGCATACTGGCAAGTAGTATATGTGGTGCTGGGATATTGGCTGTAGCTGAGGAGGAGAAGGAAAAGTTCTGGACGATCGGGGCATGGCAGAGAAGGAAGATGAAAGTGCTGGGAAGATCAGGGCCATGTAGGCTAGTAGAAACTGCCATAGTTGGAGGTACTTAAGGGAGGTGGGGTGATCGCATTGATACACATGGCTCATGTTGTATTTGCCCTGCAACATTACTTGAAGTTTTGCTCTCTTTCTGAAACACAGAACCAAAGTCTTTGGGATTTTGTTTCTGATGAACTGGGATCAACCCAAAATGGTTTGGCAGAACTTTCAGGATGTGGTGGTTTGTTCTGGGTCTGAATCATTTTGTCTTTTCTATTTTTTTTTCTTTTTAGAACTTTCTAACTCAGAGATCCTGCCAAATCTTAAGTGTTTGAGCTTTTTCAGCTACGTTTTCCTGAAATACTATATTAATCAATGTACAGGTTTTCCTTTCTGAGTACAAGCTAATAGCCTTGCAATAGCTATCAGAACTTTTCATTTCTTTGAGCATGCTTAGTATATGAAAGTGTGGCTAAAAAGGGCAACAAATTTCAATCATGACACAGGAAGCAATAGAGAGCACCCTGAGACCAACATACATCTGCTTAACATTAATCTTTAAACCTTTGAGTCTTTTCACAGCTATAAGAGCAACTGTGAGAAATAAAACACTGAAAAACGTGAAGGTAACACACTTTCCTTGCCCCCTCCTAAAAACACACCATTCCACTCAACAGCTTTCTTTCCATTGTAAACAGTTTTATTCACTCTTTAAAAGAGTCATGCAATCCTAAATACATATTGCATCATTGTCATTGAGGTGCACATAAGTGTATCCAGAGGGCTTCATTCTTCATTGCCCAGAGTCAAATATAACTGCAGTCCTGAGTGAGGTTCCACTTGCTTATCTGCTTCCACTCTTTGCTCATCAACCTATTTCAGATGGGCTCAATTTCTGCATGTGACAATTTCTGTTTTCACAAAAACAAAAACTGGCTAGGAGGGGTGCATGAAATATGGCCTTCGTCCCTGAGAGAAAAAGGCTACAAGAGAAAGCTACATTTTAAAATGGCCTTGCTGGGCCATTTCTTTCCCCGCCATTTGATTACCATTATTACGGTCTTTAGAGAGATGCCTGAACATTAGGACCACACATTTCAAGAGTATTGGTGAGAACAGAATGAAGTATATACATATTGCCTAAGCCAACCCCATGATCTTTGTCAATATTTGTCCTAATCGCAGGCATTGTTTCAGTATATGGATATTTTACAGGCATACTACATAAAAGGTGAGGTAAGCTTGAGAAAATGTACTTTTGCCTAGATTTCTAAATGAAGAATGCGAACAGTTGGACAAAGTCATGCTCATAGGACAGAATAGTTTTATGGGTGTTCACCAGCTGTACCAAACCATGTGAAGACTCCAGATCCACTTAGTCACTTCAAGGGACACTATTCTGAATGCCCCTGAAGCTCATTCAAGCTGAAAATAATTATCCAAGGTTTTATGTTAGTTTGTTGCTGTTGTTGTTGGACTTTCAAAATACTATCAATATTGTTCATAAAATCAAAGAACTAGGAGGGGCCATTTAGTCCATCAAATCCAATCTCCTGCTCAGTGCAGGAATTCTTGACAGACGGCTGTCTGGCATCCACTTTGCACATGCAGTAAAGGGGAACCCACTTCTTCCAAGCTTTTCCTAACGTTCAACTGAACTCTTTTTAAGTTCATTATTACATGTCCTGTATTCTAAAAGGATAAAGAACGGAAATTGATCTTCTTCTGGGACACCCTTTCAGGCCTTTGAGGATGCTCTTTTCTTCCTAGTTATCTGTCCTCGGTCAATCATTCTCTATTCCTCTTTTCACGGGTCTTCATTTCCAGCTTCCTGGTCATTCTCATTGCTTTCTTTGAACTTATTGCATTTTATTTTAATCATTTTTAATGTTCAGTATCAAGAACTGGAATTGATAGTCTAGATAAGATCGGACTATAATAAAATGGAACAATTACTTCCTGCAATTTAATAATTTGATACTTATACTTACATAAAATCTAAAATTTATGTTGCCTTTTTTTGCAGCAACATCACCTGCTGAATAAAATTTGTGACAGCGCACTTATATATTAAATTTCATTCTATTATTTTGTGATCCATTATTTTTCTTATTATATTATATCTATTATTTTTTATTCATTTCTGTCAAGATTGTTCTAAGCCTTATTTCTATCTTTGAAGATGCTATCAGTAAACCTGAGAAGCATTGTATGTCCAATCACATTTGGCAAAAAAAGAATTCTAATCTAATTTTCACTTCTCATTCCAATCATTTATAAAAATTCATTTGATTTGATATGGAATTATTGCTGGATACTCTTAAATATGATTTTAAAATCAACTGCTTAATTATTATACAATTAAATCCACAACTAAGCAGTTGGCTAATCAAAATATCATGGGGTACTTTTTTCAAATTCTTTATTGAAATAAAGAATACTGAATTACATCTATGGCATTTCATGTTGTAGCAAGGTTGCTACGTTAGACTTCTTGACAAATCCAAGCTGGCTTTTGAAAACAAGGTAATTACTGGATCAATCATTTTACAATCTGTTGTAGAATCTTCTCAGATACTAGATTGACCTCTAGTTCTCTGGATCCTTCTTCTTCTCCTTTTTGAAGAGGCCAACATTTATTTTCCTCTGCATTGCACATTACCTGATCTCCAAGATTTTTCAAAGATTATGCAGCATCATCCACCAGTTCCTTTGGTATCCAAGGATAAAATTCAACTGATACTGGATTAATTTTCTTATTCAAAAATAAAAATGTTTCTTTTGCTCTCAAACCTCAATCCTGTCACTTTATTCTGTTCTTCACAGTTGCTTTTGTAACATCTCCTTGTTGGAGAAGATTTAGTCAAAATAAGAGCTGAGTAGTTTTGCTTTGTTTCCTTTTTTTCCTTTTTTTTCTTTTTATTGTTTAGTTAATGCGTATTTAAACTCAGCTAGGTATTTTTCATTAAGTCATCCAAGGATGCAGTGGAAATGCTGTCTATGTAGCAATACACCCATTGGCTCTTATGTGACTACGCAAAGTAAGATATAATAGTACCTGAGCAGATTTGCATTTTTAACCTTGAAAAGAGGATAAGGAATGATGCAGAATGTGACGATGTACACTTTGTCTCCTTCCCTTGGAGGCTATGCAAGGTCATCATCCAGAAAGTCTCTCTTGGAAAATAACTCTATGTCCCTATGAAGAATTGTCAGTTACTATAGCTTATTAACAAAGACCTGGAAGCAAGGATTCAGTGTAAAACGAAGCAGTCCACCACTATTATTCCTATGGAAATTATAAATGAATCCTTCTCACTAAATTATTAATGGAACTAGATTGTCCAGCTGTAGGACTTTATGGTTATTTTATGGTTAATCTCCTATAGGTAGGCACCCAAAGACAGGTAAAGCAGCTTTAAATAGAAAAAAAAACCCTAAACATCTACAGTTAGTAGTTTTGCTCCTGCCATGTCTTCAAAAATTGCTTGAATGCCATTTATGTCCATAGTTTCAGTAGTCCAGTAGAGATCCTATCTCAAAAACTGTAAAACGTCCATTAGTTTTAATGCATATATTCAAAAACTGTACTGGAGATTCACCAGATTGCTAGTAATATGTGGGGGAGAGAGGAAAGAGAATTGCAGCATGATCGTTACATAAACAAGCAAATAATTTTTTTTCAGTGTAAAAGAAATCACATTGCTGCTTTGGTATGATTTTCATATATTCGTCACCAAGGGAAATATGTTAACATGTTAATTAACAAATGCATAATGAGACACCTTTAAAGGGTTTTTACCCATATAAACAGACTTTAACAACATGCATGAAATTCAAGTGGCATCACCATATAAATAATGCATTTAATATATCTCTCAATAAATTGCTATTTTATGCCAGTTCTTTTTATTTTCCCCAGCCACATTTTCACATAAAGTTCTTTTTTTTTCCTCAAAGAGAGGGACATCTGTATGAATTTTCATACAGAGAAATCTCCCTATTGGAAAGTTTCAATTAGAGCTAGCTACACTACCTATTTATCCACTTGGAGAGAGCTGCTAGACACCACTTATTTCTTTGCCAAAGTATTGTTTGTACGGGCATGTTAATTCCCCTGAAACAGCATTATGTCTGTGTGTTACAGTCCACAATTCAGCCCAGATCTTGAATAATCTATAACTGATATTAGATCTTTGGCATTAGCCCCTCAGATGTGGCTCAGAACAGCTAACTGAGCATGTTTGAAAGATAATTAAAAGGCTACAGGATGAAACTGGAATAGATAAAAAGGCAGATCATTATGTTTCTTCTCACGTCAGTAGGCATTAGGTAATATCAAATGCATTTTATCATTCCTGGTGGAGAAGACACGGTGCTCTGCCAATGCATAGGTTTGGAAGTGTGAATTTGTTTCTGCATACATTACATTTTCACAATCACACATTTAGTATGTACATGCTAAGAACTTAACAGATAACCTGGCATTAATTCATAGCTAGCATAAGGAACCCAGTGTCATGACAATCACCGAACAAGTGTTAGGTTAAAAACATAAAAGAAAACAATGATTACAAAGCCGGTTGAGTTGGCAAGATAGAAATAGGAGAGGGAGAGAGAATTTATGGAGGCACCAATCATCAAATCCATCTCAAACTCATTCATCTCAAGTTCATTCATCCATCCTCACTGCAAGTTCATTTTAACACAAACCATCACCACAAACCATTGAATTAGTGATTTTGTATGCTTAGTATTATGTAGCTATTTAAAATAGGTATCATATGATCTGCAGTACTTGATGAAGTTTATACCCACAGCTTTGCTGCTCTTCTTTATATCATTGTGAAGATGTGTTTAGTATCATTATTCTCCCTTTGAAACAATGTGATATCGAGGACACAGAGGTCCCAACATATACTGCGTATCTTCAGCAAAATCCCGATCAGCATTATCAGAGAAGGGGCGTCTCAGCATTTGGCTGTGGTTCGGAGATTTGTCAGCTGATATTGGAAGATCTATGACAAAAAAAGCAGTGAAGAGCATTGTGGGTGTGAGCTCAGCCAAGTTCAGAAATAGCATATCAGCATTCCAGAAGAGGCAATATCCATATTTACACCTTAAATCTCAACAGATATCAAGTCAATTACATTATTTAGTACTACCAATAAGATTAGTATCACTCTGTAAAATATTACACTGCTTATATAACTTTGTTTAGTTTTTTCTAGGATTCTACATTCCCCTTCTTATGTTGGCACTTATTACAAAACATTCTATTAAATCAAATGCTTTTTAAAAGGCACATTTACATTTTACTATCCCTAGAAGTATTGTCAGACCGACTGCTAATCTTCCATTTTAAAAAAGGGTAAACAGCCTAACATACTTTCGAGCCTTCCACTTGGTCATGCTTACCAAGACATATTGACAGGTATGCCAACATAAAATACGGTAGCTGGTTTTAGGAACTTTGCTATGGTTTATACAAGTTACTTAACTAATACAGAGGAGTTATTAGATGTGAAAGTGAAAGCTGCTATTATTCCAAAGAAAATAAAGTGCTTGCAGATATTCATATCCTGTACAAAGTGTTCCAAACAAAATAGGTGGAAAGGGATATTTAGCCCTATTTTGATTAAATCTCATTTGCTGCCGCCATTCCTAAGAGGCAGAACTTTGCTTCTGCTTTGGAGAAGAGAAATACTGTTGCAGATCCTTGATAAGACTCACTAATTTAGCCCTTTCCAACTTAGACTCCTCTAGATGGAATCACAACTTCTAGTATTTCTACCAAGGATTACCAGGATACTGGCTTGGAATGTGGGGAACTGTATCTCTGTCATATTGAGATTATACCAGTTGGGGAAAGGTGAGCTAGCTGAATAACCCAAATAAAAACAGCACAGCAGCAACTATATAGATTTATACCAAGTTACCCAATAGCAGATGGACAAGACTTAAGAATTTGATAATAAAACAGCCAATATTTTCTGCAAGAGCATGAACCTGAGATATTTCAAGCACAAAAACGACTATTGTTAACCTTATGACAGCTATTTTGCTACTGACATAGTACATAAAAAATTGTTTACACAAGTTAGTTTGAATAAAACCCAGGGTTATGCGCTGCAAGACATAAATTTGGTTCTTCACTGAATACAAGAAGCAACTAAGGTTGTCTTTTGTGTGTATTAGTTTATGTTTGAGGTGTTCAATTTTTATCCCCCAAAACTAGAAAAAAATATCCTGCATTTCTACATGTTCCCCATGTAATAATGAGACACTTCTGCAAAAAATGTTCTGTCTCACACACTTTTCAGGAAATATGTTTGTTGCAGCATAAAAATATGGCCATTACATTCAATCATGGATTAAACTTTATTTTTTTAATTTTGATCTCTGACATATAGTACATATACATCCTTTCAATTAAAGAATATATTTTGGAAAACATACTTATATACAAGCAACACTACTTATAAGAGTTTTAAGTTATATGGATTCCTGGCAATTGATGCAATACTTAATGACAAGGAAGTCTGGGGACAAGGGGATGAACACCAATAAAGCCTTCTAGGAAAAAAAAAATGCTTAAAAGGAGTTGCCAAAAAATACTCAACCAAGTAACTATTACAGTCAAGTAATGTGCAACTATCAAACCCTGAAAATTAAAAAATAAATCACATTACACTGATGACAGCCCGCTAAGAACACATGATAAAAAGGAACCTGGCCAAACCACTTTTAGTCAATCTGATGTCTTCTATAATTCTTATAGAAGCGCACTGCTATTTCTGACCTGCTTTATCCAGAGGAAACAGCATCTGATCTCATTCGTATCTTATTTTTCCAAATTTAATTTTCTGTAATGCTGTATTTTTTTGATAATTATTTGTTTCACCCAGTAAATTATCCATGCAAAAAAAACCTATTGTCTGATGGTACTTTCAGTAATACTTCATGTTTTTTATACTCCTGTGTTCCCACCATTTTATCACAGAAAAAAAAAAAAAACCACTGGGGGCAGGGGCAAGGCCTACCGAAGGCTTTTTGACAATCAGTGCTATATATTCCCAAACTCAAAGACCCCAGATTCCTATTTGTTTGAATGTTTTTAGCCATCTCCCTTCCAATGCATGCTATCTGGGCAACACTTGCCATGGCCAGAAAAAGTCCTTTAATACACATTATGGATTCATTCTAATGCTCCTTTAAATCTACCCACGTTTTAGATGAATAAAAACATAATGACATAATCACCTTCGCTTTGGTCAATTTTCATTCCATTGTCCTCCTCCTCATCCCATGTGGCTGAACAATCCACCAGACAGATCTTCTAAATGTCCCTTTTATCTCTGGGAGAAGCTGTGATAGTGAACTCTTTGATAGTATGTTTATATTTTCATCTGCCATCTTACTTACATGGATAGGCCTCTATCTTCAGTCTGCATTTCTTTTTATTTGCCAAATGTGCCGTTTCCTGAGCCAGCTCTTTTGGGCAGACAGCAGTAACTTCTCAGTAAAATAAGGTCAGGATTGTCCTGAAAAATGGTTTCCCTGCACAGCTCAGATGCCTTCTCCCAGTCCTTTGAGTTCTGCAATGGCTTATTTCCCTTATACAGAAAAGTAATCTATCATAAGGATGTAGACTGATGTCTAAAGCAAGTGTGGTTTGAAAGTTAAAATTCAACTGTGACCTTAACTAACCCTGTTCTACTGGTTTTTGGATCAAGGCTGTAAGCGCAAATAATATCTCTGAATCACAACAGCAGTTCCTATATTCCTTTTCCTATGTCCTTTACATCACTGAATACAATGAGGGCTCTCTAGGCACATTTCTATCCAAGTGATAAAAGGAACTTCTTGACTCTGGACAGAAACGACATTTGGTGTCCCCCCCCCCCGAAAAGACTGTGCCTGTGAGAGAAGCCTTAAAAAGAGAAAGAACCCTATATTGCAGAATGAGAGCTGTATGTTTTCCAGGTGAGAACAGCAAAGGACTTTATATATCTCATACCTATTCCTCAATGTTTATGGGACAGGATTCCGGAGCTTCAGCTGTTCAGTAAAAAAGAAAGACCAAAAGCAAATGGTAAACCAGAGAAAAGACAGACCACACAAATGCACAGACATACAGTGCGGGGGAGGAGGGGGTCAAGAAGAGAGAGGGAAAGAGAATGAAACAACAAAAGCTTCCTGCATTACATTTATTGCCCCCCCCCTCAAGAATTTTTAAAGATCGTTTGCATGATGACCCTGGGCAGTAACATTCCAACTTGGAAATGTGCCAATCAGTGTAAATCCAATCTGCTTTACTGTCCATTTTTCAGGGCACATTTGTGTTCCGATTTTATTTTTTAAAAATATATAGAAAAAAAAAACAATGGCTATTCCATTTACCCAAAGAGGGCAAGAGATTTAGCCCTATTTTTTGAAAACGTATAAAATGTAGATGGATTCTTGATTTTTTTTTAATTTTTTTTTTCTACCAGCAAAAAATGCTTTTTCTGTGTCTAGGGTGGCTGCTTCTCACTGCTTCCTTGAATGGCTAGGTGACCTTGTACCTATACAGACACTTGAGTCAATCCAGGAAGTGCTACAAAAGATAAGTAGCATCCATCTTATTGTAAGAGCCTCTTCATTCATTTCAAAAAACCTGTTTTCAAAACAGGGATGAAGGACCCAAGATCCAGGGGTAGGGAACCTTGGCTCTTTTATGACTTGTGGATCTCAACTCCCAGAATTCCTGAGTCAGCATGGCTGGTTCAGGAATTCTGGGCATTGAAGTCCACAAGTCATAAAAGAGCCAAGGTTCCCTACCCCTGTCCTAGACAATCCATTCCTGCTAATATTGGTAGCACCAAATTTAAATTTGTTTCAGCAGGATTCATGCCTGGATTGTTTTACCTTCCTAAATTTGAAGGAAGTAACTCCACGTGAAAGATTCCTAGCTTAGTACTGTAGTCTGGTCTTTGCCATTTCTTTATGTTACTATAAAACATTGTGATCCATTCTGTAGCAAGAATTCACTAGAATGTATGGGATGTGTCATGAAGTCCTATAGGACGGGCCAGACTACTTTCTCTCTAGTTAAGGGCTGAACAGAAATACTGAAACACAGAAGCCACGGGGCCTAAACTTCTGCCTAAGCTTCTCAGCTTTTTTAATTAAATTATCCCAATTTCAACAGAAATGTGCAAACTATCTCACAATAAAAGCACAACTGAAAACATTATCAAGGTTTAAGAAACTATCTTTTTTGCTTTATCCACAAAACACAGCAAAAATAGAAGCTAGAAACCTAGGTTACTTTTACTTCTTAAATTGGATACAATTTTACACGTATATTAAATTTATGCTATGAAATAATGTATAGAGCAGGCATGTCAAACACACAGCACGTGCAGGCCACGCCTATCCCGTCCCTGCAAGGGCAAAACAAATCCCAATACATCACGATATAGCCCACGATACGATCGGTTTGATACCCCTGATCTAGAGTGTCTCTCTGTCATTATTATAAAACACAGACTCATTTCAGAAATACTAAAGTAGAAAATACTGTATACCTTAATAAGGTATCATGTGAAAAGGCATCTGAACATGTTACATCTCAGAAAGCAGTGCAAAATCCCATAAGGTTTCCTATACTTCTGGTTGGGAGATAATAACTCAGGAAAGCAAAGTTATTGCTTGAAATGACCCCATAGTTAGTTAGTACATGAATACAGCATTCATTCGTCCTTGTTTAATGAAAACTGCCAGATTGGTAACTACTTGTGGCACTAAACCATTTCACTTTCCATAAAAACACTTTGCAAATTGCCATTAAGGATCCTCTTCTTGCTACTTTTTTATTTAGATAGGCAAAGATGGGAAACCTGAGAATTAAATAGATCTTGTAAACTTCAATATATACAGAACTTCCATCCACTATCACATATGCTTATGTATTTTGTTCTATAACATGTACACCTGAGACAGAAGTGCTTTTTTTTTTCTTCCCATCCATCTTCTTTCTAAGTGGGCCTTCTTATCTCCAACATTCTACTTGGAATGTGGATTAGCAGCACTTACCTGTATCTGCTCTTAAAAAAAAGAAGAGGATCCAGAGACTAAAAAACCCATAGGCCAAGGCGTGAAGTTTACCCAGAAGATGTTAACTGGAATAGGAGTTCAAACTTCGGAGTGAAGAAAATGGAGTGTGAGGGAAACTCAAGGACAACTTCAGAACCTCTCCTTTGCCAACAGATCAGCACAACCATCTTCAAACCACTTGCTAAAGGGCTTAAAGCCACATGCATCTCTGCACAGCAGATCAGAAAGCCATTCTAAGTTCTGCTTGAGTGTAACTTCTGTGACTCTGAAACAAGTCCATGTTGTTTCTTGAGCAGCTGTGAAGAAGCAGCATGGCTTTGCTCAAGGATTCACAGTTAGTCAGCAGGCGGCAGGGGGCAGAACATTTGGCTCTGTACACAAACAGTGTACAGAGGGGAAGGGATCAGCAGAAGAATCTTGCAAGCAGCAAAGCCACCCAATGGTATGCAAGCCAAAAAAACTGAAGCTGCTTCTTGTGGCAGCAGAGTCGTTATTAAATTTATTCCACAAGGTCCCAAGGTCCAAGCCTCCCTTTTTGAATCACCACAAATATTTCAGGTGATATTGCAGAAGAAACATCTAAAGTGCCTACAGATACAACCTGGATAATATGAGAGAAGGACATGATCCTTATCTGCTAGAGTTCCCAAGTTAAGGTCCTACTTCAAGCTCTGACTAAGGTTAGCTGTGCAAAGGATTAAGGAAATTCTATTGCATGTTTTTCAGAAAATCTCTCTAATCGCTTTCTCATTTCTAGGGACCTCTGAGGAAAGAAAGGATCAGTAATATTTGATGGAAACATGAACCCAGTATATTTAGTTGGTCACACACAAAGCAAAGAGCGTGGGAAAATAAATAAAAAGTCGATGCCCACCAGGTCACTTCTCCTGATAATCCCACTGTCTCAGGGAATACTCAGAGACCCATGTTTGGCATTTCTGATTATTGTCAGGGATCTTGTTTGGCTTTTGTGGGGGGGGGGGGGAAAGCCCTGACATTCAGTGTTAGGAATATGTATCCACAATTGTAGATTGAAATAATTAATTAGATGAGAATTTTTCTTTAAATTTTTGACAAAGATTGGATTGTCTTAAATGCTATTTGGAAGGTTTGTTCATATTCCAGAATTCTCTTTTCCTCCAGCTGAAAGCACAATTGCTTTTTTAATCAGTTTGCTCAAAACAAAGTGACAAGCTGTTGCTCTCCATCCTTATTTGTTCAATGTGCTGGTTGGCCAGCTTTCCATGGATCCAGTGCCATATTTTGTGAAATAAGACTTATGAGCTTACTGATCACTATTTTTCACCCCTTCTTTTGTAGATCGTGGTTAAGTATTTCAAATTTTATTTCAGGGGAGTTATCTAGTGTGTCTAGTATATAGTTCTCATCTTGGGAAGCTAAAATCAAGAGTATTTAATCTGGTGATCTTATTGAATAAAACAGAAAAGAAGCACAAAATAAGATGCACTTTTCCCTCTAGCGTCTAGATTTCTTTTGGCCTCTTCAAGACCTTTAGACCTTAGCATTTTTTTCATCTGTTTTCCAGTAAATTTGGTTTGGAGATAGTCTTTGAAAAGCCAAGTACTTTACTACTGATAATTAACAGGTGATATTAATTTGCTCAGTTATCTGTGCAACTCAAGCAGGATTACAACCAGTTTAAAAGATTACAACTGGAAGGGTCATAAGGTCATCTTAAATTGTATTTACCATAATATTTGGTTAGAATTTACCCAGTTCTGAACTTTTACATGTTTGTTTGTGTGTGTGTGTGAATGAGTGTGAATGAATGTGTGTGTGTGTGAGAGAGAGGGGGGGGGGCTATGTATGCAGGTATGTAATTAATATATCTATAGAGGTAATATTCCAAAGAACATCTTTTTTTCATCTTGAAACTGAAATGACCTAGCATGCCTGTGTTTAAATGATTCCTGCTCTAGTAGAAATTATATTGTTACTATTGATGCAGGTCAGCTTATCAGCTGGCACATATGTAGTTGGCACAGCAAAGCCTGGATTACCCACAAAGTTTCCCAAATGGAATAAATTAGTAAGAGAGACAAGATGACAATAGGAGAAGAGATTTAGCTTGCTCGTAGCTATGTAAGGAAATGAAGGATGAAGAAAGCACTCCTTTCAACCGCATTGAATTATTATACCAACCATGAAAGAGGCAGCCTTGAAACTTTGGGGAAGGTGAAATAAGCAAGGAATCGGTTACCATGGTTTTTGAAACAATGGCACTTTTACTGACCTGATTGAAAGGGTCTGGTGCACCTCTGTTTTAGAAATGTGAGGTACACACCAAAGAAAGTGAGGTATATTTATCTAATTGAAATCTAAGGAAGTTACAAATGCAAAATTGAGCAGTGTTAAAAATCAAAAATGCTTTTTTTTAAAGAAAAAAATCTAACCAGCCCTTGACAGTGGCGTTGTTAATTTGCACATCAATTCAATCCACATTTCAGTTTCCTTCAGACCCATAAAAGGACAGTCAGTAAAGTTTATAATCATTCAACAACATAGAGAAAATGAAGGGATGAGAGCATGGACTAAGGAAAACAAAAACAGGTACTGTGTTGGCAAGAGCGAACATGAACTTTCACACTGATGAAATCCAGTGGGGGGGAGGAGAGGGGGAGAAAAATCAATGAAAGAGCAAAGAGAAGAAAGAAAACATATCCAGAATTAGTAGCCAACTAAAGCTGGGATTGTGATATTTGGGCGTCACCAAAGGATACCAAATATGTTTTTGCGGAAAATATACTCATGCTTGGTCATTATCTGTCATTATTGGGTTTCCTATGTATATGGATAAAAAGAAATCTAGGGACTTCTAGGCAGACATAAAATAAGCTGGGGAGGTGGCAATAATCAGTTCTTATTATGCTAGAAAATTAAGAATTGGTCATTTCACGGACTGAATGAAATAGATACTACCAAATGGATTTCTCTTATCTTCAGATGTGTTCATCTATAATTCCCTAGCTGGCACGGTTATGGCCTTGGAATTACAGGATCTGAAATTATTTCCAAAGGATTCCAGGATGGGAAACTAAACTAGATCTTCTAGAACAGGGGTCTTCAAACTTGGCCTTTTATGACTTGTGGACTTCAATTCCCAGAATTCCTCAGCCAGGCATGCCAGGAATTCTGGGAGTTGAAGTCCACAAGTCATAAAAGGGCCAAGTTTGAAGACTCCTGTTCTAGAATAAGAACCCAAGAAGTTCCTTTTCTACCTATTGGAACTATCTGCCTGTAGAAGACTTTGCCTTTTATTTCTATAGGCTAGAAATTCTTAGATGTTGCTTCTTATACTTTAACCTTTAGCCTTTAACACTGTTGGGAAGAATCTTGACTTTGATCAGGTTTGGGCTCAGATCTAACTACCCAACCTATCTCTTATAGCAAATGAGTGTAATCATCTTCAAACTACACACTTAAATTGCTTCCAAATTTGTGGCTTCCCTTCAAAGTACTCTGAAAATTGTAGCTGTGTGATAGTGCCAGGCAAACTGAGATTGAGTAGTTTATAGCCCAATCCAAAACCAGTTGTGCTACTAGTATTATCCTTTTTATTTTCTTGGATTTAAAAAGTTTAAGAGTGAAGAATGATTGTGAAAAGGATTTGAGAGGGGGAAAAAAGCAGGGCAAGGAGAAAAGAAATGTAGGAAGGCAAATAGCAGGAAGTAAAAAAGGATACCACAAATGATGCACTTTAGGTTAAACACTGGCTCCCTCAGTCTGCAAAGATTAGAGACTGAAGGGTTAAGGTAATCTAAGCAGTTTCCTAGAAGGTACTGAAACTGCAATTACCAGCATTCATTGAAGAAAACCACCTTCGAAATTTGCTCTATATTTTGGAAATCTGACCTTTATCTCTATGATCTAGTGTGACGTAGGTCGAGGTGGGCAGGGGAGGGAGACAAGAGAGAGCGGTTTTAAGTATCAGGAAGAAGCCACACAAAAATAGCATTCTCCTTCCTATCCATTTCCCTAACCTGTATAATTCTAATAAGTATGTACTATGATTAATGGCTGACAGCTCTCAGGTGGTGGCGGGATTTAAAGCAGAGGAGGGATATATAAGAAACTGTCCTCCCACCTCCCTTCAAAGTTCATGTTCAGCAGACAGCCACTCACCAGGTAAGCGGGCCTCAGAGCACACCTTATTGTCCAGAACTTTCACGCTTGCGTTGCCAATGTCATTGTTATTGTCACACTCCATACCTAGGTATGCGCCTGTCCTTTGGCCTGCAAAGGAGTTAATGCAGTTAGAGAGGGGGTGAGGCTTTGGTTTAATTCTGCTCCTCTTTAAGGTAGCAGAAAACATCACACACTTCAGAAATGAAGAAAACCTCAACAGTGGCCAAAAAGGTAGAACAGCCTTCTCCAACCTGCTACCTCCAGGTCTGTTGACATTTCAAATCCCCAAATTCCCAATTACAGTCTCCACTAGTTGGGAATTCTGAGGACTGAAGTCTCTACATATCTGGAAGACCTCAGGTCAAGGGGGACTAAGGTAGAGAGTGGACAATAAGAGATGGGGATGCAGCGGCCAAAAGCTATTGTGGCTGGTTTCCTCCACCACCTCCATTTTCACTTCCTGTTTCAAGGCTATCCTTGCCAATATGGAAATATAAATGGCATGTAGGAAGAGATTTGATCTTGTATATAAAGGTATCAAATAAACCAGTCATAGCGCCATAGAGAAAGTTCAAGGAAAGCACCTATTTTATGGTTTAAGTTGTCTCTGGCTGGCATCTATGGAATATTCTCAGCAATCAAAACACAGCAGAACCTTGATTTGGTTGTGACAAGAAGGTAGAGCCAGATAGGATACAATCCTTTCCCTAGATAGTCTAGGAAGCTTTGCTCAATGGGCTCTGAGAAATCACACAACTTCCCCAAAGTTATGGGTTTCATTATTCTGGGCAAGATGCCAAGAGAAAAAAGAAGAATCATGATAAGGGTTTATTTTGTGTACATCAGTCTGCTGCTGCAAGGTTTGGACAAATTTTAAAAATAAAACAAAATCTATATTTAAAAAATAAAAGGGGGAATTCCCATTTGTATAGTGTCCAATAATATTCATCAACGTGAAGCATTTCTGACTTTGCTGACAATGAACAATTATTTAATCAACCATAGCATTTATTTTAATAAAAATTGAGATAATCAAAAAGTGTTTCTTGTTAATATTCAGATCTAATTTAGACTGCAGAATGAAATCAAAGCTGAAGCATGCAGAGGGCATTGCCTCAAAAGAAAACATAAAATTATTTTTAATAATATTAACAGCCACAATAACTTTCCCAACTTTTAGACAGCCTCAAGAAAATCTGAGAATTTAGCCATTTAATTTCAAAAGAGCAAGCTGAGACTTTGTAACACCTTCAGTTTGCTCTCTGGAAAAGAGAAACTGACCACATCCCTAAATTTTAACTATGGAATACATGAAATCATTCAATGTCAAGAGAACATAAATATGTTAATATATCAAACTCCATGGTTTCCCAGGGGACCAAACTGCCTTTTTAATTTTTTGGGGTGTGTGTGTGGAATGTAGGGAATGAAAGTTACTGTGAAAGAATAAATATTAAAATCAGTAATATGTTTCAGGTTTTCATTTTAACAGAATGTCTTGCCAGCCAGATACAAAACTTTTTAACTCAAGTGGACATATAGTCAGAATTGCAGAGTTCTGAGCATTATGTTCAGGAATTTGGAACTTGGTTCTACAACTAATAAAAGTCCTGTCAGCCAAAACACAACAAAAACCTAGTTTTGATTCCTCTCCAAATATCTTTTTCAGCAATGAAATGTTGAATGGGGATATTATTCCAACCCTTGTAACTCTCAGACAATTGGGAGTCAAAAATAATTTGCTGACCTACTGCCTACTAGTTGTTTAACTTCTGCCCATTTTTCCTGAAAATAAACAAGGAAAACTGGCAGATCTCTTTAAACTTTTCATGTTTTCAAATGCCTTCTACCTGCTCATTTAAGAAAGGCCTGACGCTTCAAACTATAGCAATTCAATTAGCAATACTGAGCTTGCCCCAAGCCAATATGCCTCAGCTCTGCTCTTTCCTTGTTCACGATGAACCCTGCCTGTGCTAGATGTGAAAGAGAAACAACATGGGGCATGAAGCAATGCTGTATTCTGTGTTACCATCTTCCTGTGTCGGAGAGGCATCCTCTTCTTCCATGACATCATTCCCCTGCCGAAAAAGATAAGGTGTGAATATACAAATCAATGACTCACCATGTAGTAAGGATGATATTAATATTCCCACAGCATTCTGTCCTCCAAAGATTGGGGAAACTATAACTTGGCTAATCTTTTTGCAAGCGCTTGCTTTAAAAAGCATATAGAACTGACATTTTCTGAGTCGTATTTACAATTCCAAATTATAAAATTTGGAATCACAGATCTGAATGCTGGCCTGTAGATCAGGGGTGTTAAACTCGCAACGTCATGTGACGTGTTGCGACGTGTCACGACTTTTTTACCATTGCTGGCAATGGGGTCGGCGCAGTTTTGCTATGATGCATCCGGCCCGCGGGCCAGCAGTTTGACACCCATGCTGTGTGTAGATAGTCATATTTTTGGGGGGCACAAAGCACACAATGTAAACTTTTAGAAGTGTGTTGCAGTAATTTAGACTAGGCCAAAAGGAACAGTTACAATAAAAGACCCACACACAAGAAATTATCTTGCTTCCTTGAATGAATAAAATATAAAAAGAATAAATAGTAAAAAGAAAACAAAAAAACTCAAAGGGCAGATTTGATGGACCACTAGGTCTTTTTCTGCCATCAGTTTTCCATGTTTCTATAATAGGCTCAGCTAATCATTCTAGCCACAGTAATCCAGTTTAAGTATATCGAGTTTTTCCAAACTAGCTTGTTTGCTTGCTTGCCTGCTTGCTTCCTAATTTACCCTACCCAATTTATACGGCTGCCCATCCTACAACTCTGAACACCATATAAAAATTAAAAACAAAAAATGTACTTCAACAATCCAAATGTCCAAGATGGTAAAAATCATTTCCCAGAACAATTATAACTAATCAGCCAGCAGAGTTCACAACTTCCCAGCCCAAATGCTTGGGAGAACAGCCAAGTCTTTAGTGCCTAACAAAAAGCTAGCAAGGGCCATCTGGATCTCTGGAGGGATGCTATGTACTTCTTCCAAAGGAACTGAGATGACAACTTCCAGAATTTAAAATCAGTATGAATAATGGATTTGCTACTTGGGAATTCTCAGAACTGTAGCCATAACATTTTTGGTGGAATGAAATTGAGAACGGCTGAGTCAGGCCAAACTGCTCTTTTATTGATCCAGAGTATTTCCTGCTTCTTGTTGTTCTGTGAATGACTCCCATTTCTTATATCACTCCTCATTGCTTTAACCTGGAATACCATTAGACCTCTGGTTCCTGGTCCTAAGAATGATTCCTAGATATCTAATCTACATTTTTGGGCTTTACTCTTTTACTTTGCCCTGTGCTTTTCACTTGCTTTGTGTTTTGTCTTGTAGTACTTTGTTAAAAAAAAGATTTTGCATACAAATAAAAACTATGGCTCAGAGCCAGAGCTCATTCTCCTGGGGTCCCATATGTTAAACAAGCTTTCTGATTCAGAACCTTACCTCTGCATCTCGCTCCTCTGCTGAGATACTGACAAAATTTTCATCGGGAGACTCAACAGGGGTTGACTAAGAAAAGAGAAGAGAAAACAGAAAAAAGTTGATGGGTAAGTATCCTATAAGGACAAAATATCATCTGCCAAATCACATCAGTAGTATTAACCCAAACATAACCAAACATTGTTTGTCTTTCTGAAATGCTAATTTGCTTCTTTACTTCCTCCCCTGAATAAAAGGGAGGCATTTGAAAAGATACAGAGAAGGTTTTCCAGAAATCAGTTTCTGATGTTCCCAGGACAACGTCATAGTGGCTACAGACACTTTTTTGGCAACTGTCTTGAATGTTAGATGTGTCAAGCTCCATTCAAAACATGTACCAGACTATTTTTTTTTAAGCACTATGTGAGGTTTTTTTTTTTTTTTTTTGAGTGGCAAGCCTTATATGAAGTAATTTGCTTGCATCAAATCAGGAGCTACTTTTCTCATCATCTCCCTGCTTCTGCTGATGCTTGCCCCTTGATTGGTCTGGAGTTTGATCTACTTACATCTCCTTCTGAAGGTACCTCACTGATAACAGCAGGGGATGCAGCCATGTCTCCCTCTTCTTCAGTGCCGGGGGCTACGTAGGAACCTGACATGGAAGACATGGTATCTGTGCTGATTTCGGAGTGCTGGCTTTGGGAGGAGGCCATAGACATGACTGACTGAGCCAGACTGCTACTAACAGGATCTAAGGGAAGAAGGGAGGTGGCAGACAAGGCATAGTTAGAGAGAGATGTTAGGGGAGCCACCCTTGCGTCCGACCACTGCTACTGTAGTATTTGCATTTCACTATGTGCAATCTTGAGCATCATTTGCTGGAGTGGTGGGATGAACTTTAATAACAAGCCAATCAACCAAAAGTATTTCTAAGTGCCCAGGTTTCAGTGGTGGTTTTACTCTGAACAATTACATTTCTTGCGCTGCTGGGCTCAGAATATAGTCAATAAGATCAAATATTATATCTAGCTTCTGCTAAATTGTCTTTGGACAGTTCATAAAAAAGTTTCTCCAGCTCAAAATTTACAGATTAAGTGATGAATCGATAAACCAGCAAACCTGTTCACCAATGCAATAGCTTAGCTTTTCATTAATTAATGAACATAATATCCTGGAGTATAGGACATATAGGCAGCACATATGCAAAGTCATTTATTTGGAATTAGGTTACAGAGTGGATGTAAGTCAGGTCCTTTAGCTGGGTTTTTTTTTTTTCTAAAAATCTTGTCAAGAAAACTGCAAGGACTAGTGAGTCAAAGGCACAAAAATTCAACTTACATTAAGCTGGAGGGCAGAAAATTGATTAGAAACTCATTTTCTACTATACCTTCTGGAGAAGAAATGGTAGAAGAAAGAGGTGTTCCTGTGCATGAAGATGGATCTATTGCTCCTGAGGAGGACAAAGTGAGATTTTCACTCTCAGGTGTCACACCACAATCCTGAAAAATAGGGAAACCATAATCTATAATGAAAAACTATTATGAAACAACAATTAGAAACTGGATCTGACTCAGCCACTCATTCTGACTAATGGATTATCTTATGCAACTAGGACACCTTCATTATATATGGTTTTCTCTTCTAGAACTAGCCAGCCAACATGGCCATTCCTGAGAATTGTGAAGGGCATAAAGACTAGGGGAAAATGGTTGATTTCTCCAAGATAGCTTTAAATTAAGAAATATGTGAGAATAAGAAGAAAATTTGGAAGATCTTGATTCATTTTCCCAAACCAACTCAAGCATTGGTAAATGTAGCCTTTTCGAAATTGGTCTTATAAAATGTCACACTCTAACCCAATTCCATTTCATTAGAGTAGACCATTTTAAGAGACGTGTTGTGTGATACTGCCTGTGGGTACAGAGATTTTGGGTAACCAAAGTCCTATCACTTTCAGATAGCAAATCCTCAATACCCCTAACTACCAAAGATTATATTCAGCTAACTGGCAAAGCAATTTTAAGCTGAGGTGAGAGGAATTCCAGAGCTTGTAAAGTTCAGTTCTCTTTCAAGGTAGATATTTGCAAACACCTCTGATTCTTTTCCAAAGCTAAATTCACTAACATGCCAGCAAATGCTGGTGGATTTAACTCCTATATATGCAAATGGAAAAAATATTTGTTTTCCTAATGTGTCTTCTATACTGTATGTCTGCAGGAGGAAAAAAACGTGAGCAGCAGTTAGGCTCATGTAATATTAAAAAACAAAACAGGAATTTGAAAACAATCACCTCTCCATGAGGACAGGGAGACTTCCTTCGGGAAATCCTGACTTCAGATTCACTACAAGCCTTATCTTCTTCTTCATGCAATACCGAGGAATTGTGTGAGATTGACCTGGTGAAAACACACAATCTAAAACTGACTCCTTTGTAGAAAACATACAAATTAGAATGAGGGAATGGGGATCTCCAAAAATGCTACAGAATACTCCAGTGGCCATTGAGGGCTAGCTAGATACATTAAGAAAGCTGGTGGTCGACACAGCATTCACAGGGACTTGTGAATAATAATCGCACCTATGACAATACTCAATGAAGTTCATGGGTCCTCACCATTTTTTAAATTATTACTTCTTTAAGAAAATTGAAATACCTAGAAATTCATGTGACTTATGTTCTCTTAGGACAGCGGTTCTCAACCTGTGGGTCAGGACCCCATTTGGGGTCGAACGACCATTTCATGGGGGTCGCCAAACAATGCAGTCCGCCATTTTTTCCCCCTTTTCCTTAGCTGTACTACTCCCTTTTATTCTATTGGCTTTTGAAAGCCAATAGAATAGACTCTCTTGAATAGAGTCTAATTCTATTGGCTTTCAAAAGCCAAATAGGAATTGTCCAGGCTGTCTCTGCCCTGCTGAGCCCGCCAAAAGTCCCATTCTGCAAACGGTGCTGCAAGTTGTCTGGAGCGAAGGCGAGCTATCTAGAAGTTTCCACCCCTCCCTGCTGAGCAACTACTAAAAATGTAAGTAAAAGAGGGCCAGGGGTGGGAGGTGGGAGGCCGGCGGGCAGAGGGAGGGTTGCTGGCACGCATGGGGCCCGGCAGGTGCCTTACCTCTCTTGGGCTGGGCCAGCTGGTAGCCCAGCCAGTGGTCGGCCTGCACCGTCTCTGCCGCTTGCCAGCTACGCCTCGGCCGGTGCAGGGGGCGGCACCACGCATGTGCAGCGCTCCCGGGCAGGGAAAGTCCTTGACTAACAACCGGTTGGGTAGTCCTCGACTTACGACCGGTTGGTTAGTCCTCTACTTATGACCGGTTGGGTAGTCCTCTACTTACGACCGGTTGGGGGTCGCGGCATTAAAAAGGTTGAGAATCACTGTCTTAGGAGGACCTGGCCATTTTTTAATTGCAGTAATCATTAAATAATTGTCTGAATGACACCAAGCAAAATCATCTGAATCTGAAAAGATTGCTGACCAAAGGACTGTATTACAGGCACTAGACTTAAGGAACAGGATATCCTCCATAAGGATTTACTGCCTGCAGCCCATCTACTGCTGTGCAAGCAAGAGGGAGATGGCAGGAGGTCACTTACTTGGAAAGGCTCTTTAATTTATGTCCTTGATTGCCACAATCTGATAAGCGTTCAAGGGAAGGCAGCGTCTGGATGGGAGGCAAGTGGCTGTCGCTGCCATATGTGGGTAGCATGCCTGACACATGGCTGTCCCTAAGCACACGAACTGGAAGGGCTGCTGGGGATGGAGTGAGAGGCCCGTTAAGGGCTTCCAGCAAAGAGACCACCTCATAGCCAGGGGGGATGTTTTCTGAAGACTGGAGGAACAGAGAAAGGTATGAAAAAGAGAGGTTATTCTTAAACAGCAGGAACTATTACCAGAAAGCTCAAGACAGAACAGAAACCTCCAACAACTGTCAAAGAACACATAAAACAGAAAGAGAGACCAGGATCCCTTGATGGAAGAGTGGCCTTGCAACTCTAGAACGGAGTTGTCTTCAACTCTGTGGAAATTGGATTGCTCTTAAAGGGAGGTTAAAACCTTTGTTTTGCATAACTGGGTTACTACATACTTCAGTTTTTCCACATTTTTTTTAGCTGAGAGTTCTGTGTTAATATCTGGAATACACACACACACACACACACACACACACACACACACACACACACCTCTATCCCACGAGTTTGTTTAAGGTAGTGTTATTACTGGTTAATGGAGCCTGAGCTAGCATTACTGAATTGATTTGCAATTATTACCTTTTTCACTGTTTTGTTTTAGGCTGTGGCTATGCCTTAGTCATGGCATGTAATAATTAATGAACAGTTGCTTAAGTTAAACTTTTTATTCTAAGCCAAGTAATTGCACACGACATGCACACGAAGAGCGAGTCTTTCTGGACATAACTGGAAAAGACCTGTGTGGTTACACTCTTCTATACTTTCATCATAAAAATAGACTTAGCTCACTCCTTCTGCAGAGAAATTCTGGACTCATATTTCTACAAATGACACATGCCACTTCTGTAGAAATGAGGAAAAATGTTCTATAAATTCTCCAAACAGTAGATTGAAAAAGTCTAAGTTAAAATTGTCTTTCTTACCATTAAGCTTTCTAAGTACATATTTGTTTAAAGACAAATCAATAAATAAGGAGGATCATTGAACAATAAGGTCTTCCATCTGCAGGCTGAAGCACAATTGTTCAAAATGCCTTACAGGCTTTGAATACAGCAACTTAGTTACTGAGATATTCTGTTTCTCCCCTAAACATACTAGATCTGTGTTTAACTGTGGATGCACATTAAAATATGGCACTAGCAACTGCTTTAATCATCTTGTTTGCCAAGATGCCAGTAAGCTCTCTAGCTCCATGTTTATTTGCCTGTTTCTGTTTGGGAAATGACTGCTATGCTCGCTGAGCAAACTGGCAGAAAGATGGTAAATTTTTATATTTATTTTTAGAAAATATATTTTTCCTTTTCACTGTTTTTAAAAATCCCAATGAGGATTTTTTTTGCTTCTTTCTTCGTTGACACTTGTACATTTAAATGTTCAAACACAGTACATATTTTTTTTCATCTGTGGTTGTGAAAATTATACCTCTGAAAATTACAACCACTGTATCGTCTCTCTCTTGCTTTGGTATAATTAATTTTATAAGATAGCATAATTGTGCAATTGGTTCTTTTTCATAGTAATAGTAGTAGTAGTAGTAGTAGTAGTAGTAGTAATAGTAGCAACAACAACAACAACAACAACAACAACAATAATAATATTGGAAGGGAACTTGGAGGTTTTCTAGTCCAACCCCCTACTCAGGCAGGAAACCCTATACCATTTCAGACAAATGGCTGTCCAGTCTCTTCTTAAAAACTTCCAGGGTTGGAGCATTCACTGCTTCTGGAGGCAGATTGTTCCACTAGTTAATTGTTCTAACTGTCAGGAAGTTTCTCCTTAGTTCTAGGTTGCTTCTCTCTTTGATTAGTTTCCATCCATTGCTTCTTGTCCTGCCTTCAGGTGCTTTGGAGAATAGCTTGACTCCCTCTTCTTTGTGGCAGCCCCTGAGATATTGGAACACTGCTATCATCAATGAAGATATCCAAGTCTGTTTTTTTCCGCACTTTTCATATGCAATGGACATGGACTGGAAATACAGAAAAGTCCATTCAAATATGGTCCTTCTTCTCAAACACAAGCAGGACCAAATAAATACTGAATGAATTAGCTCTTACTTGTCTTCCAGAGTTTTTCAGTGGATTTAGATAAGATCTGGGCTTGCCACTCCCAATTCTAATTTCATTACCACTTCATGGTCAGTGGCATTTCTTTCTGAATTACTCCCTTACAGGAAAGTTGGGAGTAAAAAGAAAGCCTCGTGATGCTCAACTCTTCTCTCAAAAAGAATGAATAGCCCAGAAGAGTAAGAGAAGAGCAATTAAGATGATCAAAGGTCTGAAGACTAAAACATATGAAGAATGGCTGTTGGATCTGGGTTTGGCTAGTTTAAAGAAAAGAAGAAACAGGGGCAACATGATAGCAGTATTCCAGTATTTGAGGGGCTGCCATAAAGAAGAGGGGGTCAAGTTAGTTTCCAAAGCACCAGAAGGCAGGACAAGAAACAATGGTTGGAAACTGACCAAAGAGAGAAGCGACCTGGAATTAAAGAGAAACTTCCTAACAGTCAGGACAATTAACCAGCTTGCCTTCGGAAATCATGGACCCTCCATCACTGGAGGTTTTTAAGAAGACACTGGACAGTCACTTATCTGAAATGGCATAGGTTCTCCTGCTTGAGCAGGGGGCTGGACTAGAAGACCTCCAAGGTCCCTTCCAGCTCCTATCCCATCCCATCCCATCCTATTCAGAAGACCATCTCAGCCAAGACACAGTAAGATCAGCATCTGAACAATTAATCCACCAATACTCACTGAGTGTTCCTCCGAATCTGATGTCTGGGATGCAATGATAGGGTTGAAGTTGGTGGGGGAGAGAGGTCCCATTTTTTTCCTCATGGCTCTGATCTGTAGCAAGGCCCGAAATGCTATGAGGAAGAGAAGGACGGAGGAAGAAATAAATTTCAAATTCTGCTAGAAATTACTCTAAAAACCATCCAGGTAATAGGTGACTGTTACCACCAAAATACAAATAAAATACGATCACAGTTGGCTCTACTATCCTTTCTCCTCTGATAGTTGAATGTTAAAAATTAAATAATCTTAGCCTATCTTGGGTACAGGCGTTTATTCATTTCTCAAAGTGAGAGGATCAAACAAGTTAAGCATGTGATCTTCCAGAGAGGCTCAATCTCAATTTTTTTTAAAAAAAAAAAAAATCAGGACTTACGCAATCTGCAGATGGGACAATTGTTAGCTTGATAGCGCAAAGTGTCAGCACAAGTGTTGCAGAGACAGAGATGGCGGCAAGGTAAGATCAAGGTGTCTCGGACATCGGAGAGGCAGACTACGCACTCTGCACTATTGTCGCTCACCTCATCCTCTGCCACCTGGATTAGAAAAGCTTGCTGGTCTGCAACTCTTTGCAAACATGTGTCCATAGTGAATTCAAAGAAGGAAGGAAGGAAGGAAGGAAGGAAGGAAGGAAGGAAGGAAGGAAGGAAGGAAGGAAGGAAGGAAGGAAGGAAGGAAGGAAGGAAGGAAAGAAGGAAGGAAGGAAGGAAGGAAGGAAGGGAGGAAGTTTTTAACATAGAAATGTCCAGACAATCTGTTTGAGACCGTGTACAATATGTACAATATTCTCCACCATTAGCTCTAGTTCTCACCTTTGAATCCTGTATGTTATATTTGTTTTCTATCCCATAAATTTCCTGAAGGAGATAGCTCACTCCATCCACCTAAAAAAAGCACCAACACTGAAATTACATGGGAAAGTAGGGATCAAAAGGGAATATGAAACTCCAGAAATAAAGACTGCAGAAACAACTTTCTTCTTTCCGTTTTATTTTTTCCAGTGGAAAAAACCTCATTATCTAACCTGAACAGACATTTTTCCATAATACGAGGACAATGATTTCATCCTTACAGTGAATGGGTGACCACCTTTCTTTTTATCCATTGGTTGGTTAAAAGCTCTTTGCAACCAGTACTGTTGGAAAAGGGCTGGATGGCCATCAAATTCCTTGGCATTGAGCAATCAGCTTTTCCTAAAAAGTAACAGGAACTAGTATGTGCGGAAAAGCAGAGAACCTGATCCCCCCAGCCACACACTCACCACTTGCTTTTGTTTGAGAGGTTTCACACAAAAGCCGCCATCCGTATGCTGAGAGGAAGAAATACAAATGTTCAGATGGACTCTTCAACGTCACAATCCATCAAAAGAAATTCTAGGGGATAGGTGTGATGAAACAGAACTCACTCCCTAAAACACAACTGTACTCCACACAGAACAAAGAAAATGTATCCTATTCATGTCATGCCTGTTTTATGCTTCAGAAATTTAACAATCACTCTCCTTTTAACTCAGACCATTTTTACTTACTCAGCATTATTCTACGTAACTCCACTGCTCAAAAAAGACTGCTGTAGTTTTGCTATATTCCTCTTCTCTGTTATATATTTTTAACCTTGTAACTACATATCTTATTTATTTATTACATTAGTTCAACCTGCATACATTCAACATGGGAGTTTGGGTTCATGCATGTTGCACATGGATCAGCAAGAACGCAATGTTTACCTTCTCAAAAGTTGCCAGCAATACATGGCAGTGACCCATGTGCTCTGCAAGACAAGATCAAAATTGAGGTTCAGGATGATACATAATTTTGCAGAATATACATATATGATTCATTACAGATGCCTTTCTAAGAGTTTCAGTTACTAATGATACCCAACAGGACACAGAATCAATTTAATTTAATTTTTAGAGTGCATAGCGGCAACTTGCAAGACATGTCAATTCAGCTTCCTATCACAATGCGATCGCCATCTGAAGGATGCTGATTATTTGCACCCATTCCAATTTAGCTTTCAGTGTGGAAATGAGATTGCTTTGCTCGCCATAATGAAAGGCCTATGCTGCACTTGAAACTGGCTAAGAAGAATAATCACATTAATTCTCCTGGATCTGTAACCAATTTTTGATACATTGACCATGGTATTCTTCTGAACTTTCAGAGAAGATTGGGCTCTATAGTAGTTCCAGTCCTTGTGGGCCCATGTCTAGAAAGTGATGCTGAGGGTCTATTGTCTTGTACTTTGATTGATAGGATGGCAGCATCTTACAGGATCCAATTTTGAGCCCATCCTATTCAACAACTACATGAAACCACTGGAGGAAGTCATCTGCAGCTCTACAAATGGGTGTCATTAGCACGCTTAGCCATTTTATCAGTGAGAGGGACAGCATATAAGTTTAATAAATTTAATAATTTGACACTTAGTTCTATTGTTCCTTCCAGCAAACTCCAAGTAAGCAATTGGTAGTTGGTTCAGTTCAGTAATAGGCTGGTGAAGGAGAACATCCTAAGATTAAACCCAGACAATATTGGTAAAGTTTAAAACTGAATAAGGAATTGTGATATACCCTATTTTGGATAGGAATGCAAGCCCTCTGATAGAGTAGGTTCACAGTTTGGGAGAACTTCCTGATATTCACTGGACTTGTGGGTGATGTCTATGGCAGGGAGCCCATTTGCACAGCCAAGTTTAGTGTGCTAGCACAATCCTTAAGCCAGAGATTCAGCAATGCTCTTACACGCTTTGACTGACTCCTATTCTGATAATTGCAACCTACTGTGCGTGGGAGTTTTCTTTGAAAAATGCCTAAATGTGCAATTGATGCAAAGTGCAAGAGCTAAACTGCTAGCTTGCAGAAAATACAGAAATCCTATCATGCCTATACTTTAAAAATTTCACTGAATATCAATTTCCTATCAAATGCAACTATCACAAGTTGTGATAAATTTAAAAATCCAAAATGATTCTCTCGTCATTAAGACCCTCAAGAGAAGACCATCTATCTGGCACACAGGGGCGGGGGTGGGGGATGTACTCTAGCAGTACAAAATCTTCTACCCCAAAATCTTCTGACTCATTCCAGGGATTGCAGAAGAGATCCCATATGTGACAACAGGCAGATTAGTAGATGGAACACCTCCAGAACACAAGAAATGGGCAGAAAGTTCTGGGATAAAAGCCTGCATTCTTTGGCCTTTTTATCCATGTTCCCAGGCAATGAAATATATCCATAGGAAATGCATCCCTTTCCAGTATCTCTCAAAATTAAGACAGTGTGTAAAGATGTATCTTCTTTATCAGGCTTTAGCTCAAGGATTACATTTTCAATTTTAATTTAAAACCTTTTTAAAAAAAACTGCTTGTCACCATTTCTTTGAACAGAAAAGTAAACTATATACTGAATAAACAAATAAATAAAGCATGAATGTGAACCATAAGAGCATCCTTACCATCTCCTTCATCTACCACTGCAAGAACCACCATGGGATAAATTTCACGGTCCAGATCAAAGCTCAGCTGCAAAAAATAAAAGGCCGGAGGTAAAAAGGCAAGCGGTCTTAGAGTAAAATACTGGTAACATCAGTAGAATTATAGTAATCCACTCGGGTTCCCAGCAAACGTTACCAGAGGTATGCAATACTATAAATGCAGGCACCGAGGAAATCCTCATTTAGAAAGAAATGTCTGGAAACATTCTGCTTTTTAAAAAGACAAACATACATGCATTACTTTATTAGTGAAATATAGTATATTCCAGTGGTGGCGAACCTATGGCACACGTGTCAGAGGGGCATTCGGGGCCCTCTCTGTGGGCACGCGCACCTGGCTCTTTGGCTAAGTTTTCACAGGGAAAAGCCATTTCTCAAGCCCCTTCCTAGCCAAAAAAAAGCATCCAGAGCGAGCACGCTGTTTTCAGCTTTGAATTATATCAAATCTGACACCAGAAACAGACTAATAGATGACCTGAGTGCTGCATGTGTGGCTTTCAAACTTACAAAGTATAAGCCAAGGTTGGACAAATTATCAGCATGCATATAACAACAAAAATCAGATTAATTGTTCAAAAGCATGCCAAATGCAAACTTTTACCTTTAAGTAAAAAGTTGTTTATATCATTGAAAGCTTTGTTATTGTGTTTTTCTTTTAAGACAAAAGAAAACCTTGGTATTCAGATTAAATTGTCGTGTTGGCACTTTGCGATAAATAAGTGGGTTTTGGGTTGCAGTCTGGGCACTCGGTCTCTAAAAGGTTCGCCATCACTGGTATATTCTGTTCCCAGATAAGATCTCTATTATGTGCAGCATGCACAGGCCCTGATGAAATATGAATCTAATAGGATAATTGCTCAAAAAAGGAATTTCTCAGTTTCTTTGAGGCATGCTTCTTCCTTACCTCTTCTTCAGTCCATTCTGAAGGATCAATACAATGAGAAGGCAAACAGAATTGCTGGCTTACACCTCGCTTATAATGGACAGTCTCAGAGTGTAAACTGCTCTCCTTGGGGATATAACTGTAAGAAGAAAATGGATAACCCAGAATAAACAACCTCACACTATGGTCTTATCTTCCCAACTTAGTAGGGAATCTTCCAAGATATGAAACATCATCTTCAGGCAGCTTTTAAAGCCATCTTCTGACTGACACAAAGTTTTTCTTGCTCTAGCAATAAAGTTATGCATCATTTCTGCTTGCCTGTAATATATTTTATTGATACAGTTGTTTTATCATTGTAATTGCAATGCTGCTCTGAAGAATCCCTAAGCCCCTGAAAGATGTGGAAAAAATTCACTCCTAAGTAATTACTGTCCTTTGAGTTAATCTTGATTCTTGGTGGTTACAAAAACAAGCCTTTGGAATTTTCTTAGCAACATTTTTCAAAAATGGCTTGCCAATTCTTTCTTGGTAGTGCTGAGAGAGAATGACTGACCCAAAGTCACCGAGCTGTCTTCTGGGCCTAAAATGAGACTAGAACTCAACAGTCTTATAATTTCTAACCAGCACTTTTAACCACTCCACCGAACTGGTTCTCATAAACCAATATAACTAATGCAGATATCACCCAGAAAAGAGCTCTTCTTTCAGGCATGATATCATATTACGTTTTCATTTTTCTGTTACTCCCCCCTGCTACTATCATGTTTACTGGAATATCAATTTCTCAAATGAAAAATAGAAATCAGAGGTCCTATTTTCAGAGCCACCCGACCTGCAGCATTCATTCGTTTCCAGCTATGCTGATTGATTAGGAGGCCCTTATTTGCATCTTTGTAACATCAGCATATTTCAGTTTAAGCTGGCTTTCATGAACACTTCCACAATAGTATTGTTTTTAGAATCTGCAGTGATATATCACAAACCAATTCACGGTGCATATGGCCCTCAAAAGCCATTCCAGGCTAAATTCTGCCATGCCACGAGTCAGGAAAGCAAGAAGTTACGATTCAGGCACATATTGGTTGCAAGAACCTTGGAGATCATCTTTTCAAATGGGGTCATTAACCTCTGCTTAGGTGATTTATTCTCCAACATTCAAACGTTCCAAAGAGATAGACAATAAGCAATAACTAGGGTGTCTGCAGTTGTTCCTTCAGCTGTATAATCTTTTCTATTTCCTAGCCTCATGCCTGTCTCCCCTTTCTCCATGTACTCATCTTAGCTGTCCAAGTGAGTCATTGTGTGAGTTTTGTATCCAGTTACCTATCAAAGATCCAGGGAGGGTAGTACCAAGTTCCTTGCTAAAACCCTTAACTATAGTAAAAGTAACAACACAGAAAAACACAGTATAGAATTAAAAAAAGAGAGATAAACTGACTTAATTTTTGTAGGATTTTTTTAAAAAAAAGATAAATCTAAATACAGCATGAAGTCCTTTTGAGGCTGGGCTTCCTAGCCTCTTTCTCTCCCTTATTTCATTTCTTCACCCTATACTGGAACACAGTGTTAATGCCCCAAGCTTTGTTAGACAATTACTACCAGCTTTATGCAAGTGGTAATTAGCGTACCAGTGGTAGAATGTTTTGGTTACTATACACTGGATTTCGTATATTATCACTGCCTATTTTTCACATTGTAATTTTCAGTATCTGAGTTTTCGGGAGGATGAATTTCCTTAAAAATATTATTTTCCTTCTGAAATTATTTTCATTTTTCTTTATGATATATGTGGTGTGCATATTACATGTACGTATATGTATGTGCACAGATACACAGAAGTAAATGCACACTTGCCACTCAGATTAGGTAAAGTTAATTTTATTTTTTATATATAATTGTTGATTTAAGATATTATAGAACTACTTTACTCTATACCATATATCCAAAACATATTGGGAAATTTTTAAACCTTCTGTAGTCTGGTTCTTGGCACATGGATTAATTTTACCTAATGTGCAGTTACTTGTCATGAGTTAAAATGTGTTTCTCAAAGGAATGCTCTTGGAAAATAATATCATTTTCCCTTTTACTCAATCTGCAGTATTTTAGTGCTGGGAAAAATGCAATTTCTTTACAAGATAATGCCATCATTGTGATTGGAAGTGCTAGGCTTCATAGAGTGACAGATTCCACTGACACCTATAATTTTATGTTATATTAAAGCAAGGCTTTCCCCCCCCCCCCAATGATCAGCAGACTAGAGAGAATTCACTTCTCCGAACTCTATAAGAGAATATTCTTCGAAGGGATTAAAGACAAGGAGTGTTCAAGCTACTTCCATGCATTTAGCCAGTGCATACATTTAAGAGGATGGTAGTGTCAATTCATTCCGTAGCCAATTTTTACAATTTTCAAACTCCATTCATTCAACACAATTTCTGAACCTAGACTCTCCCTATAAATATGGCCAAAAGAAAAACCATGTTGTGATTTCATGTAAGATAGTCTTTTCAAATATTACACATAAAAATGGGAGTTAATGGGATCAGGCTTCTTACCTCACATACCTCAATCTCCTTGAGCTGAATTTGGTGGAAAGCTATCTAGACGGTGACCCATCTAGGTAGGTGTGATCAAACTCTATTGCATATTAGGAGGAAGCTGCTTGAAGCAGCTAATTGCCCTCTATCAACACAAGGGTACAGTCCTTCCTTATATCCAATTAAATTTTAATCTGGTACCCTCTATCCCCACCTTTCCTATAACTTGATGCTAGGAGGCAATCAGCTGTGGAGTTACCTGCCATTCCTACAATAGAAACTCTAACTCTCAACTTACTGGATATAAACGAGGAGAGGCCATGTGAGCATTTTGTATGGATATATCTTGGTTACAAATCTGCAGTTCCATGAACAGACAGCCCTGTCCACTTTTCCTCCTAACAATGAGCAACAACAGCAATCAGGTGATCCCTTTCCCCAGCTCTCCTTTAATTTACCTCACCACTCCATTCTGAAATTCTTCAGTGGCTTGATAATAAATGGTTATGGCCACCCGTGCATCTGTATCAAATGTGAACTCCACGTTGTACTGGACTTTCGCTTTGCTGACTTCTTCACCTGGACTCTTCACTTCCTCTGTGCATCTAACAGAGCAGAAGACAGTAATCATAAGTTTTGTACAAATGCTGGCGATCCAACTTTTTAAGGAGCGATTTGGGGACTTCTGGGAGTAGACATCCCAATAAATCTGGAAGGTGCCAGGTTGGAAGTTGCTATGGTATGATTTTGCATGTTAGAATGCGGTATTACAGGCTAATTCTGCTGACTGCCGACTGCCAGCTGTTTGGCCATCTCACTGGCTCAAGGTTGACTCAGCCTTCCATCCTTCTGAGGTCGGTAAAATGAGGACCCAGATTGTTGGAAGCAATATGCTGACTCCGTAAACCACTTAGAGACGGCTGTAAAGCACTCTGAAGCGGTATATAAGTCTAAGTGCTATTGCCATTGTCAACAATTGCCTCTGGTTTCTTAGAAATTCTAGACCAGCATTTTTTCAACTATGTTCCTTGGAACCCTAGGGTTCCATGAGTACTTGATGAGGTTCCGTGAGAGACTGAAGTTCATTCAAATCTAGCCAATTTTCCCTAACTAGAGCTAAAGGTTCCATGTCGTGAAATAGTCTTAACCCTGGCTCTAGACTAGGGGCCCCCAACCCCTAGTCCATGGACCAGTACCGCACCGCGCCATGCCAGCAACCGGTCCACACAAAGAAGCAAAGCACCATCCGCGGTATGCAGGCAGCACACAAACCCACGCGCTCTCCAGTCCACGGAAAAACCTCTCTCCACAGAACTGGTCCCTGGTGCCCAAAAGGTTGGGGACCTCTGTTCTAGACCATAACCATAAGAAAAAGTATCACTTTTTCTTGTACTATTTCACTATCTTCATTGGGACAGAATAACGGGTTCTTAAATCCAGGATTGGCACAGGTTTTGGGTGACTGTGGCAAGAGTTTCTGTACCCGAAGCTTTTGTAGGGATTTCCCCCAATAAATATAACAGAATTTCTCCATTTTTTTTAATTACAGAAGAAATGTAACCGAGGTGGCGCAGCAGTTAGAGTGCAGTACTGCAGGCCACTTTAGCTGACTGTGTTCAGCAGCTCAGCGGTTCAAATCTCACCGGCTCAAGGTTGACTCAGCCTTCCATCCTTCCGGGGTAGGTAAAATGAGGACCCAGATTGTTGGGGGCAATGTAAAATATATATATACATTGCTTACTGGTGTACACCGCTTAGAGAGTGCTTGCATTTAAAGCGGTATATAAGTCTCATAAAATAAAATAAATAAAATAATAAATGTCTAGTGGTAGGTAAAGAGGCTGTTCTCCGACAGTGAGCTCATAAATCAGCAGCAGAGCATATTATTTTGTATGCAGAAAGTACAGGGAGTTCAAGGTTCAGCATCTCCTGGTAGACCTAAGAAGCTTCCTAATAAACACTGAAAAGAGCTTGGTGGGCCTGTGATTGTTGCAAATATAAGGAGGCCTTTAATATTCCTATGTGCTGTTTCCATACTTCTGTGTTAAAATCACAATATTGAGATTTGGCAGGAAAATGTGTTGTTATTGCTTATTATTATTATTTTTATAAATAATTCAAGGTGGCAAACATACCTAGTACTCTTTCCTCCTCTTTTCCCCACAACTACAATCTTGTCAGATGGATTGGGCTGAGAGAGAATGATTGGCCCAAAGTCACGCAGCCAGCTTTCATGCCCCTTGGCCTTCTAGCAAAGTATGCATCCCTCTTCCATTTTTTTCAATATTTCTTCTCAATAAATAATCCAAATATCTGTATGATATATTTCTTATATACATTATTAATCTGCTATTTGTCAGTATGAGAGAATACCAGCATTACCTATTATTACCTATTTATCTGCCAGGAGTTTTCAAAATTTCCCTTTCTCCTCTTTAGGACAACAATATATGATCTCCTCCCATGCTGGGCTCTACTATGATTAGGGTAGGTGGGAGTGAGGAACATCAACACATTAGTCATTTTCCATAAAGATTGAACTACCTTCAGCCAGACTTTTCATGTTGCCACCAATGATTATAAGGGAACGGAATAAGACTGTAAGGACTTAACCAATTCTGCAAAAGCATTCAAGTCCCAGGTTATTACAGGGAAAGCAGAGTTTTTGTCCAGAATCACTGACTCTGAGTATGAGAACAGAAGAGATAACGGATAAGAATATGAGACCAGAAAGCCAGTCCATTGGCATAATAAAATTCTTCCAGGTCGTTGCCGAGAAAGTGACAATTGAAGATTATCCACCTTGATTTAATGAAAACTGACATTGCTGAATTGCAGGATGAAAACAACAAGTACCAACTAAGGCCTTGCTTGCATGTTTTACATCTTTACCTATTGTTTGGATTCTCTGGAGACAAACGCAGACTTGTTACCTTTACAAAAACAGAGAAAACCCAAAGGAGTACACGGCAGTGTATTTACAGAGAAACATTATAAATGGCTTCCCTTGCAAGGATGCCTGTTTTAAGCCACACTTAATTTCTGAACACACTTGCTTGTAGAACCATATGCAAGTTCTAGATTGGGGGGGGAAGGTGGTAGAGAGCAGTTAGCGATAAAATTCAAGGCTTATTAACTTGGTAAAAAATATACTGAGACCTGTTCATAATTGCTGTTATGCCATCGAATCCAACAATTCGGTTCTCAGGACTGAATAAAGGGGCATCGGCCACTAAGGAAGTTCTCCCCTTCTCCACACAGATCTAAACTGTTAGCACTGATTCCCCTCTTATCCCAGCCTACCAACAAAAATAAATTTAACTTTATTTAAATCCTATTGTCACCTGTAGTTATCCTGAAAGCCAGACAGGGAAGATAAAGAACAAAAAGAGACAAGAAACTAATCAAATCATCTTACACAACATTTGCAGAAATTCTTCCCCAGAATTGTTCACACTTAATCTCCGTGTTAATCTTGAGGAGCTGCACACGGATACGCCCTGCTGCACAAGAGCGGATGGACTGTTTCCAACAGGCAACATCTGTACATAATCATTGTTCGGAGCTAATTCTCACTTTATCTTTTGAAGTCAAGTTCAAAAAAAAAATACCACCCAGCTTTCAAGAGTCCTAAAGCACATGACACTGTCAATTAGCAGCTGGCCTATGAGACTGAATAGCTAGACCTCCCAATTAAAGGAATCCATAAAGATGGGGATTTCTGGTCATTGATTTTCATGTCTGATGAGAGCTAGGAAGTGTCAACATTTAAATCACAAATACAATCAGAAGGGGACAAGAACTGGTTCACATAAACATGTGTCAGAGGGAAGCTTGCCTCTTCTGATATATTTGTGTTTTACACAACTGATGTCACTGCATCTAAAAGCTGCAAATATGTTGTTGTTGCATTACAAGTAAAAAAATTACTATATTTGTAGAGTAATACACAATACCAAGGATGAAAGAATTCTTGAAAGTATTGGAGGAAATAAGGGCACACTTGGAATACTTCGTCCAGTTCTGGTCACAACAATACAAAAAAAAAAAAAAAAAAACAAAGAGTGCAGAAAACAGCAACAAAGATGACAAGAGGGTCTGGGGTTTAAATCATACAACTAACATCTAAGGGAATTAAGTATGCTTAGCCTAACAAAGAGAAGGCCTTGATAGTCATTTAGTTGAAGGGTTGTAACAGAGAAGAGGGGATTGATTTATTCTCCAAAACACCCAAGGACAGGACAAGGAGCAATGGGTGGAAGCTAATCAGAGGGAGATCCAACCTGGAACTCCCTCTGGACAGTGAGAACAATTAGCGAATGAAACAGCTTGTATCACAGAGTTATAGATGCTCCATCACTGGAGGTTTTCAAAAAAGATTGGACAACTATTTGTCCAGAATGATATAAAGTCTCGTGCCTTGGGCAGGGGATTGGACTAGAAGACCTCCAAAGTCCCTTCCAGCCCTATGATTTTATGGTTATTGTCTTAACCCAAATTTGGAAAATAAAAATAGCCCCAAGTCATCTAAATAGAGGAGCAGCACTGTTCCAGAGAAACAGCTAAAACAGCTGGGCTTTTCAACCAGTGGTACGGGTACCACCTGTGGTACATTGGCACCAGGCAGGTGGTATGCGATCATCCTAGAAAAGTGGTAGCGGGGAAGGGGAATGCGCTGAACTGATGGCAGCACTGCACAAGCCTGAGCAAGAGATGGCTGGAGCTGCAGGGCTGTCAGGGCTTAGCGGAAGCGCCAGGATCAGCACCAGACTCCAGCTGGAGCTCGGCACTGATCCTGGTGCTTCTGCTGAGCCCTGAAGAAGTACCAATCAGCTGGAAAGCAGCACTGATCCTGGAGCTTCTGCTGAGCCCAGAAGAAGCGCCGATTAGCTGGAAAGCAGACTGATCCTAGTGCTTCTGCTGAGCCCTGAAGAAATGCCAATCAGCTGGAAAGCAGCACTGATCCTGGTGCTTCTGCTGAGCCCTGAAGAAATGCCAATCAGCTGGAAAGCAGCACTGATCCTGGAGCTTCTGCTGAGCCCTGAAAAAATGCCAATCAGCTGGAAAGCAGCACTGATCCTGGAGCTTCTGCTGAAGAAATGCCAATCAGCTGGAAAGCAGCACTGATCCTGGTGCTTCTGCTGAGCCCAGAAGAAGCACCGATCAGCTGGAATTTGCAGCATCTCCAGGTGATTTACATTCAAATGCTTGGCAATTGATTCATATTTATGATGGTCACAGTGCCCCAGGGTTATGTAAAGTGACCAAAACCTACTGCAACCACCCAGCAGATGGGGGGAATAAAAACCAAACACCCCCCTGCTGCCAATCCTCAACAGAAATGCTCACAACAATGAAAACATTGGACAGGAGGAAGAGTGCTACCGGATGGACCGGCAGGTGTCTTGCTTGGCTGAGGCTTGGGGGGCACTTTTTTCAGTGCCATTGTAACTTTGAACAGTCACTAAGCAAACTGTTGTAAGTCGAGGACTACCTATACTTTATCACTTTTTTCCTTTTTGGGGGGGTCATCAAGTTTTTGACACCTTGCTAGGTGACTGGTGGTACTCGGATATTGCCATATTCTAAAAGAGGTACAATGGGTGAAAAAGTTGAAAAGCACCATCCATGCTATTGTACTAGACAAGGGAATTTGGTCCAGCAATGTATTTACATTTATACATATATCAAAGTTTCCAGTTAATTAGGCCAAGAAATTTTTGCCAATTTATGTTCTGCTTTTCCTGTAAAAGGTCCCAGGTCATTTCCTTGTGATTCTACCCACAGAGGCTATAGAAAGCTGAGTTGGGAAGATAAAATCCTCGCAAAGCCAATCTTGACCTGGATTAGCTTTTCCAACTTGGGCCTTTGAGAAGTGTTGAGATGATAATTCTTTGAATTCCCAGCTAGCACAAGCAAGATAGCTTGGAATTATGGGATTTACATCTGGAAAAAAACAAGGTTGAGAAAGGCTGGACTGGAAAGTAGCAAATCTGTAGTTACCACATCCCACCCCTGTCTGGTCTAACTTTGTATTCTCTTCTATAGCTCCTAGGCAAGCCCACTCAAGCAAACAAGTTCCCTTCAAAAAGCCTTAAGCCACAGGAAGTCCCATTCACTAAGTCATTTTAATGCTAGGCAGTCTTCTTTGTTGGGGTATTTTTTCCTGCTTTGATTGAGTTAAAGGTTCAAAGTGCAGAACAAATCCCTGTTCTGAAATCACCGACTTACTTGACTAAACGCAGTGTGTCTTTGCGGATGTTGATCAGGCTCCTCAAAGTTTTCACTGGCTCCTGGGGAGGAGGTGCTGCATATGGAAACTAAACAGAACACAAGAGGAAATACAAGGTTTAGATGTTGGACTGTAAGTCAGACTATGAGATTTGAACTGTAGCGAATAAATTAATCTTCATGCATAAGCAATACAGGTAGTCCTCAACTTACAACAGTTTGTTTAGAAATTGTTTGACGTTACAATGGCACTGAAAAAAATGACTTATGATCATTTTTGACCCTTATGATCATTGCAGCATCTCTATGGTCATGTGATCAAAATTCAGATCAGCTTGATAACTCATATTTATGACAGTGTCCCGGGGTCACGTGATCACTTTTTGCATGATGCAACCGGCCCATGGGCCTGCAGTTTGACACCCCTGGTATAGGGGCTTCTGCTTGAGCAGGGGTTGGACTAGAAGACCTCCAAGGTTCCTTCCAGCTCTATTCTGATTCACACAACATAGCATAGCAAACCTGTACACAATACTTTATTGCAGCACACATCTCTTCCAGCAATAAGCTATTGCTCTGGGTCAATTCCACCCTTCTAGGACTTCGCAAGGTGATGTTGCCACATAAATATATTTCCAGTACCCAGTCCTCTGTACTCAGAATAACAGTATAACAGAGTTGGAAGAGACCTTCCAAATGAACTGTTCTTTGAAGTACTCTTTCTTGGATGCCTTTTCTCCCACCTCTTTTGACTTATTCTCAACAAAACAAAGATGATATAATATTGTGAAGGGTGCTGAAGTAACAGCCCTTCTTTTGCAACTATATGAAACATTCTGACTTGAAATTCAGATCCGTAATAGAAATGCACTATATAAGGTAAGGCCAAACTTTTACACACACCTTCTTGTTGCTTGGGTGTGTATGTACATATCTGTCCATATGCATTTACCTCCATGAATACACTCATCATCTCCCAATCTAAAGATCTTAAAGCACAGATTTACCACTAGCTTCTCCCTGGATCATACCCAGCATCCAAAGCTTTTGATGTGACTCTCAGAGATTTCCAAAAGGTGCGACTAAATTTTAATTTTTTAAATATTTCTGAATAGGATAATTATAAAAGTTAAGCCTGGGTTGAAATATAATTAAATTTAATCACAAGTAAATGTAAACTGAATGGAATTCCTGTACTGGCCCCATCACCTTTTTATGGTTCATCTCAGCATCCAAAGGCCAAGAGTGACCCCAAGCTTTACAGAATTGTGCTCTTCCTATTCTAGGAAGCATCTCCCAGTGCAGTATTTTCTCTGGTTGTGGCTAAGGATCCTGGAGCAAGGGCTGAGAGTGTGCACAATGACTTGCACTTTTAGTTCCAGTTGCGATTGCTGGATACATCAGGCCCTTCTTAGAGGAGAAAGCCCACAAAGGAAGAGAAGCAGAAGAGATTTACTTCCACTAATAAAGCTAGAACACAGTAGAGTCAAGGAAGTCAAGACGGTGGTCACTCTGTAGAGATTTAGGAGGAGTCAAGATAAAATGAAGGCAGGATTAAGGGCAAATTAAGGGCAAAGGTTCAAACCTATTTTAACATCAAAATAATTATCAGCAGCAGATCAGCTACTAAAGTAAGGAAGCATTTATTTCTCTGGAAGCCCAAGACTCTAAAAAGTATGTCTTTCAAGGTGGAATGGTAAAAACAAACAGGAAACTTATTTTTAGATGAGACTATCATTTTCTTCATATTCTCTGTGACTTTGCAGGCATACATTTTGGGGCACATTAAAGTAGCCTTGGGAATCTCCATCCCTATTTATGGGCACGTATATACCTATCCAGGATGCTTCCACTACAGTCTGTAACTGAGAGTAATGCAAACCAGATCTGTACCTAGATGCAATACATTGTGAAGAGAAAGAGCAAGTTGCCCGCAATCCCTTTATGTTCTTATATTCCCTCCACCAACCCCTTGACAATTGCTCTTATAATAGTCTAAAGTGCCCAGAAGAGTGAGAGAGAGTATTTTTAGCTTGCTGATCCAGCAAATGTTAATTTAGATCAGTATCTGGCAGTGCATCCTGTGATGATTCTTTGCTGGCTGTCTCAGAACTCCCTATTTAACCAGCTGTATCCAGAGGCAAAAAAGAAAGTCATTTCTACTTAGTACTGGTCACTTGCAGTATACCGGTAGTGTAACAAAAAACAGAGATTTTTTTTTTCCAGATATACACTTTGCTTGGAAGGAAAGGAAGCAAGCAAGTCTTTGTGCAAACCAAACAGAATCCAGGCTAAGGAGTCAGATGGGTGTGGTGACTTTAGTCATTCATAAGAGTGGCCAAAACCCGATTTTTTCAACTGAATTTACTAAAACCCACACTAAGTCAAAATTAAGAACATCTGCCTTTTATCCATCGCCTTTTCTTACCATGTTTGTGGTTTGCTCTGTTCTCTCCTTTCTGCAGCACATCAGAAAAGAACACTTGCTCGTGAAACCTTAAGGTGGGTTGCAAGGTGATCCCGCCCCTCAGTACCATCCCACTCTATCTTTCAGGTGAGTTTAGGCAAGCTTATATAAGTTTTATTACTCCATCTTCTGGAATGTAAGTTTATTTTTAGTTTTTATTTTCTATTGCTTTATTATTAGGATTATTCTTTTTATTATATAAGTTACATATAACTTATAGAATACACATATATGTATAATATAATAATTGTATAATATGTAACAATAACATAATACACATAATAATACACAGTATAATTATTACTGCATTTTATCATATACATTATAAACCGCTTAGATTCCAATGGGGTTGAAGTGGTTTATAAATGCCTTAATTTAGTATTTAGTAGAATAAATGTATTCTTTTAGAAAGTTACAATCTAATAAGGATCTAATAAGCCCAGTTCTACAAGACTGGGAAGAAAAAGGCCACACAAATCCAGAAGTCACCTGATGGCAGCAACAAGTTAAGTGTTTTTTTTGTACCCCACTGTCACCTATAGTGGCCATTCTGCATTTCTGCAATTCAGATATGGTAGCCTTAAGGAAGTCCCTCCAGAAATACAGGAGCGTCTTTTCTGCAATCACATTTTACATTTAGAACACAGCGAGATTTTTTAAACATAGTGAAAACTTGATCTGCATTTTCCAAGTATTGCAGTTACTCAACAGGCAGAGAAAAATCTCAAACTTGTAAAATGGGACTACTAATTCAGAACTGGACTTCTCCTTGAGTCACACAGTCTTATTAAACTCTAACTGGCATTCTCACCTATAGCTTTGTTAAGTTACCATCACTTATCTTACATGAGCAAGAAGCTGAATATTACTGTCAGCTTGCCAGCAAACTACTCTGGCATTTACCAATTCATAAGAAGGTTAGGGTGTAGTCAAACTGACTTCTTTGATTAGAGAAAGGAACAATATCCACATTTATTGATGACTGGAAACCTCTTATAGACTTTTTCTGTAAAAATAAAAACAATGAACTTGTGATTTATGGCTTTGATGATAGGATGATTATATAGAAAAAGATATGCAACTTTGAAGAGAGAGGTTAAAATATAATTATATTTATAACTGCTGTGAAGAATATCAGAAGCCTTATCTTTATATTTTTTTTTTTTTTACTTTTTTCTACTTTTTTTCTTATTCCACTTTTAGCTTTTTCTTTTTTCTCTCTTCACTTTCTCCATTCTATTTTAGTGGGTATTGGTTTTTATTGCTCTTAAAACTTTCGAGAACAATTGTTTCAGAAAAGAAATAATTGCTACCCCATATGTCAAGTGTTTTAGTGCCTCCAAGTGGTAACATACGGAAAGACTTTAACCCAACACCCAGAAGGTAATCAGTATAATTACTAAACTAGGACAAGATTATCTAACAGCTGCTTTCATTTCTGAAGTATAACTACAACCGTTATTATACTGGGTCTGATGGTACATATTAACAAATCTATTGCAGAATCTGCGTATTATTTTTGATATCAGGCTTTATGGTACAGAGCAGCAGCAAAAGTAAGTAGGAAGTTTAAAGTGATTACAATCTGCCTTTGCAGTCAAATTATTTCTGTAGGATTACATCACAGATACTGCAATAGATCCATTAATATATGCCACCAGACCAACCTCTGCATCTGAAAAATATAAAAGCCCTCCTCCAGGTGTATTTAAAAGACAATCTAACCAGGATATGATCCAACCGCAAATGTAGAAGGGTTTTAGAGAGTCGAGTGATTCATCCATTTGTGTTTATCCCTTGAACAGTTCAGGTTTCTTAAATTCGCTAAGTGCAGTTGTTGCAAAATATACATTTTGTTCCATGGACATAGTTTAGACTTCATCCAAATCTAAAAACTGCAAGGTTCATTTCCCCCCAAGTTGCTGATTTCCCTTTGCAAGTTTGACAAATAGATGTATACCTGCTTTGTATAACTGTAATTTTGAAAATAAATGCTGTGATTATTCACAACTAAGTAGCTATGCTAAAAAGAGCCTTTAAAAGATCATTGCAAATCTCACTCCCTGCTTCTGTCCAACCAGACCAAAAGTGAAAAGAAAGAGAAAGGGTGTAAAAAATAACTTACATGCTACAACTTCGAAGCCAGACCCACAGTAGTAGTTATAACACAAATTAAAGAGACAGACACTGCCAAAGTGCAGAACCCATCTTAGAATGCAACAATAATTGTGCAGGTAACTACTGTTAGTTGGCGCAAGACTTAAGAATACTGTGAAAAAGCATCTATGACAAGGTCTTCAAACTTGGCCCTTTTATGACTTGTGGCCTTCAATTCCCAGAGTTCCTCAGCCAGGCACGCTGGCTGAGGAATTCTGGGAGTTGAAGTCCATAAGTCATAAAAGAGCCAAGTTTGAAGACCCCTGATCTATAAGAACTGATTCCAATTAAAATCAAGCAAGAGATACACAATTTCACTAAAGCTAATGGAGACACATTTGTACCAAACCTTGCAGAAAGAATATGCCTTTAAACCCAAGATTCAAGACTTTTAATCTTCCCAATTTTCTTTCCTGGGTGATCTATACTATAAATCCTCATACCAAAAATAATAGCAATGTAATA